CACATTCGGAAGGGAACTTCTAGCTATGTACTGTGCGTAACGTCATTTTCGACACTCAGTTGAGGGTCGTGAATTCATAATTTTCACTGACCACAAACCTCTGACGTACTCTCTGAACTCAACTTCAGATAAGTATTCACCCAGGGAATCACGACAACTAGATTACGTTTCACAGTTAAAATCGGATATTCGCCATGTATCCGGATTGAACAACACTGTGGCAGAGGCCTTGTCACGTATTTGTTCCTTCACCCGAACCGACGCCATAGACCTTGTAAAACTGGCTCATCTTCAAAAAGGAGATATTGAGGTTCAGCATGAGTTGTCGAAAACAACTTTACAACTAGCCGAGAAACCCTTAGGTATAGGAAAAGATACTATTCTCTGTGATATTTCCACTAGCACTCCTCGCCCTATCGTGCCTAAAAGTTATCACCGTAATGTCTTCAATACGTTGCATGGCTTATCACACCCAGGTATTCGAACTACCGTCAAGCTCGTAACTAGTCGGTTTTGTTGGCCTGGTATTAATAGGGAAGTAAGGGAATGGGCACAGACGTGCTTAGCTTACCAAAAGTGCAAGGTAATAAGACACATTAAAAGCCCCCTTGGCACCTTTCTTATCCCCGATGCCCGTTTCGAACACGTCCATATAGATTTAGTTGGCCTCTTCCACAATCTCATGGATATACCTATATGTTAACCTGCATCGATCGCCTCACACGATGGCCTGAAGCAGTACCCCTCAAGGATATATCTGTTGAAACCGTCGCACGCGTCTTTGTAGACATAGTCCTGTTAGGGGAGGATGCTGACAAAGTGCAGAGTCTTCTGAACACCTTCAGCAGCAATCTTCGTATGTTTGGCATGCGATTCGCCCCTGTAAAATGTAAGATGCTGCTACAGGACTGGACTACGTCAACTCCTAGCTTAGTGATAGGGAGTGAAGTCATAGAGCATGTTGACCACTTCACCTATTTGGGAAGTTGTATCAGCACCAACGGATTGATTGGTGACGAAATCTCAGCACGGATCCAAACAGCTCGAGCTGCTTTCGCTAACTTACACCATCTCTGGCATAGGCGTGACATCCGACTATCAACCAAGGGACGTGTGTACTTCTCAGCAGTTCGCTCCGTCCTTCTCTATGGCTCTGAAACATGGCCAATACGAGTTAAAGACATGAAAAGGTTGATCATAGATGTCTACGATCTCTTTCTCACGTTAGGTGGTATAATAAGGTAAGTAATGTTGACGTTAGGCGTAGTGTTGGGCAAAGATGGAAAATCAATCGACGAGGCTATAAAGTTACATAGATTAAGATGGCTAGGTCACGTGCTGCGCATGCCTAGCCATCGCCTCCCCCAACGGGCATTGCTGGCTGATATAAGTGCAGGTTGGAAATGACTAAGTGGAGGCCAAAATTATATTCACCCTACAAACAAACAAAGGTTGCGGCACATAAGACAGTGACTGAAAGGCGTGCTTACGATCACCCCACCAAAAATAATGGTAAGAAGGACAAGACCTTGCGATTCACCGAAATAGATAAACACACTTCTAACATGGTAGAACTCACAGTCTCCCCCCTCCTAAACCTCACAAGACCAGCCCTGCGGAACATGATCCCAACCGAAAGGCTAGTGAATTATGATCTCACTCCTGAATAAGCCTCTCTACCTTCTAGATATGCCTCTCGTAAGTCGACAATATCCTCACTTAGCCGTACCTCGAAAGTTGGAGAGGAATTCGGCGGCAAAACAGACCTAATAAAACCACTCATGACCAAAATTCTGTTACATTCATAAAAATCTGTCAAGAATAATCTTTGATGGGAAGAAAGTAAGACACGAAATTACATCTGGAATAATACCAGGCTCTTCAACAGCAAATACTCTCATAATATGTCAAGACACACTAAAAGCTGATCAGCAACTCGCAAAACTGTACAAGTGACAACACTCAGAGGTCAGCTTAAAAGCACTCTGGGTCTTCAAATTACGACACACAAACAAACTTCGATAGAATATAAGGCACAAGTCTGTAGGGAATTAAACCAAAGTGCAGCAAAGAATACAATGAAGCCCACGCAAGAACACATAGAATGTCTCCAAACATTAGGCATATCTATAATGTATGAGCATCACAGATAACTAATGATTTTTTATCCACCACATCCCTGTCAAAGTTGACCAAACAATTGGTGTGTATTTTATTTCTTCTGAACCCATAACACTAGTGTTGGCTCCCTATCGGGAAGAAAATAGATAGAGTAGTCCATGCGCAGTTATTAATCACATTCGACGGCTGCCAAACTTAGACCAAATAAAAACTCATGTCCCCAACCTATCCAAGCCTAGAACTAACTTATCCTATACCGAATTCAATAACACAACACATTATTCAATAGAAGGGGCAGTTAATACCTCGATAGAAAAGGATGAACGTGGTAATCACACTAATTTTTATAAGGGGTTGCCATGCCATGCGAAACGGTGTTTGCCAAACCACAATTGAGCCTGATTAACGATGTTAAGTTCTTCAAACATTAATTCTTCTCTCAATTTTACCTAATGCGTATTAAAGCTAGATCTATCTTAAACAAACTACCGATGCTCAGTGTACACACACTGGTATGCAAACCTCCAATAATTATCATCCCTGAATCCTGGTGTCATTCCAGTACACCAGTCGAAGAGATGAGCATCGATGGGTACACAAACTTTCGATGTGAAAGGAACAACGGTGAGGAAGGAGGCTGCCCTATGCACTTCCTAAACACGCCTACTGTAATGCAGATAGAAAATAGGGAACTCAAAACATGCACAACATTCTGTGGGTTAAAAGTGCTACATTACTAATGGGGTGTATGTACATATCACCTGGCACCTTTAGTGATTACGAGACTCGACTCATTAACGCACTGGATCAAGTGCCCACTCTTCTATACGAGCATAAGATCATATGGGGAGACTTCAACCTACTAGAAATCGACTGAGATGCATTAGCAGGCCGAACTAAATATGACCAGCTCTTGGGTACACTGGACATTTTCGGCTGGAAACAAACTGTCACTGTCCCTACAAGAGGTGAGAATGATATAAGTCCCCTCTCGATCTTAGTGGGTTCTAAGTATTCAGGTAGCGACCACAAAACATTGCTGTGTTTGCTGCCACTCCCACTGACTAGCAATTTATTCAGGACGCCGTTCTATTTAATGATTCTGGATAAAGAGTTTAGAACTTGGATGTGGAAACGAACAATTGGTCAGCAACGTGGAATATGTAAGACGATGTGTGCCAAAATCTATAGATTGCTTTCTCTATTGAGAAATCATTGGGTAAAGAGAATGAATTCACTGGGTATGTCGCAAAATTTTAATTAGGTGTGATTTGGTCTTCGTGTCGACTGACAGCTAACGTAAACCTCACCGGTGATTTGAAGTGAATAAGGAAAAGATGGTACCGGTCACATGAGGAATGGTCGTTTAATACAAATCAATCAGTCAGGCCAAATAACTTCGGGGGACACAATAGTATCTCCCAATGACTTGAAATCAAAAGTAGTCACTGAGGGTAGAATTAGACTGAGAATAATCCACGGTTATCCAGAAACATAATGAATGAACCACTGCCTATACCCTTCCGGTTTTCAGTCATTTTTAAACATGTCATCGCTTCTGCACAGTTTTCATGCAAATAGGTATAAAAATGTAGAAATAAGAAGATCAGTACACACACCGTTATATTCAGATATAGAGATACGAATTTCACTGGTATAAGGCAGCATCACATTCTCAACATGTGCGTCGGTGGGATGCTTGCCGACGACGCATGTGGTTCGGGGTTCGATCTCTGGCCGCCACACTCCTTTACCTCGCTAAGCCAGTAAGAAGACTGGAAAGGTAAGGCATTAGGCTAGCAACCCCATCCCGTAAAAATAAACACCACTGCTACCGAAACTTGAAGCCTCCAGTTTGATGTCCTATAGTCCACTGGGAACGTGAAGGAATAAAAAAACAGCAACCAAAATGATGAATTACGAAAAAATGTGATGACAATACAGTTGGGTCTCTCAGACCTTCTAAAGTAGAAAATGTTTGACTTAGAGATTCCCTGTAAAAATGCAATAAAAGTTTTTAAACAAAACACAACCGTCTTTTATGGAAACTGAAAATTGCGTTTGATTTTATGATTCTGTGCGCGTCGCAATATGAAACCGTTAAACCTTTTCAGATGGTTTTAAACTCTCCTTCGGATCGTGTGTATACAGTCTCGATATATACATTCAGTTTTTTCGTCGAAACATTACGTATCTCTAAATTCTGATTTATAAATTTTTCTTTAGTCTACGTTCACTGAAAAACTATGTCGCAGCAAATGGAAGATGAAGACTTTATCAGACATGAGACTAGGTGCCACTCATAACGAAATTAACTTTAAATTGTTTGTTCTTCATGTCATCCTGATTCGTTGACATTCCTACTGTGACCAATCTTAAAATCTTTCACGAAGCAAAGTGAAGTTTTTCTTTTGGTGAAATTCCCTCCACCAGTGACAAATCCGTCGTTCCGAGAGTTATTGTGGTCGTCATAAATTTATCTGCAAACAAATGAGAAACAGGATTACAGTTATTGATATTGAAATGTAGACAGATAATGCAGTCATACAGGCGTAGGTTTACAAGCGTAATCTAAGTCTATGAACTTGCATATTATCCTTCTTAGAAATCTTAGTGGATGACTGAGAGGACTGAATCCCTTGATATCCCATAGTGTTTAGCCACCTTTCGTCATAACTTCATATTATTTTGGCGATGTTTAGACTCTTTACATACGCTATAAGCTAACTCGATTTTAAGCGAATGAGTGATTTATCTGTTGTATATTTTGCCTACTGGCTATAACATTTGTCAGTTGATTTGTTTTAATCCATCAATGTTATTCACTTTTAATGAGACTTTTTCTTAACTTTTCGAATCCAAATTGAGTAGTCGCAGGAATGTCTAATATTAAGGCACAAACATGTAAATTTGTCTATTTCTTACAAAAACTTTTGTAAAATAGACTCCACAAAACTTAAGGCATTGAATGAAGCCTGTTTCAAACTTGTTAACAATGCAAGTAATCTACCGTCTTCAAATGATATCACCAGTTTGTTGAAATTTTTCCAAAACACTTTATACAAGTAATTCAAAATACTACTTAATTGTTTCCATAGTATACTAAAAGATATTAGCGTCCTATCTCCGGAGCGTTTTGCGAATAGAGACAATGACTTGGAGTGGAGGGCCAAATATTTGCCACAGCTTGATTATGGCACTCTTTATTTATGTGTCTTGACGATTTCAGAGCATATACAAAAGCTTACAAATCAAAGCGGTTAGTTTTCACACTTTTTCTTTTTTACGCCAGACTGTGTTCATAAGCCATGGTCTTTTGATAACCCTATTTAGAAATATTTCTAAATTAATCAAGTGTAACACTTCTGGAGACACGAATGTCTTATTGAATATGTATACAAAGTTTTAGTTCTTAAAGCATGCATTCGTTTGTGGTGTCATTAGTGGCTGAAACAATTATTCCTTGTCTACCAAGTGTCTGATCTTGTATTTTCGCTGGAAATAAGCCTTCTTACCATAACAGTAGAGGATGTGGTTGAAAGACCCTCTAGTGTCCACGTTAAAGGTGGCGTCTTACACCATATTTTTAACTATTTTTGAAGCTTTAAATTTCTGAATATGTAGAGGGAAGTTACAACGCTCTCAGGACCACTGCCTTCGACAATTAGTGCACTTGACCACTTTGATATAAACACATTACAATGCTTCTTCTTCATAAAGCCAAAAATTAGTCTGTCTTTGACTTAATACACGCCATTTTTCTTTCAGATTGCATAATCGAAAGCGTTTAGGAACTTATTCAAGCTTAAAGAGCAGTTTAAGTACAACATTAAGCAAACTTAACGCTTTCATGCAGTCTACAAATAATGTTGTGGTAAAACACAGCCATGTTTCTGTTTTTGCAACTGCTTTGAGCAGCTGAAACCTGCGAATAAAGAACTTAGCTCAAGCAGTCATACGTCTATTGTGTTTAAGAACGCGAAGTTACATACCACTACTCAAAGTTTTCAATTTGTTTTTGAAGACATAGAATGGAACTGTCTTGATATACTCCAGCAACACTATTAAGCGACGTCTGCCAAATCGTTCATTAAGGTACAAAATGGTGAATAAAGTCATTTCCAGAGTAATTACTTCAAATTCCACCCGGCCTCGAAACGTTTTAGGATTTCAATGGTATGATAAGCTTGAATTCATGAGAATAAACTCCCTTTTAGCTATGGAACCTGGTTAAAACCAAGTCGACAGATTGATGAAGTAATTACACTGAGTCCTCTATAAACCTAGTTTTCATGATTAGTCTTTTTACCACCGGTAACATGCTTGTATAGGCCTTTTATGATGAGCAAGCTGCAGAGTCGGAAGCTCCAAGTTATATGGTGACTCCAAACATTTAATTTGATTCCAGAATTACCTTTTCATCATTAGAAATTTTATTTATCTCCTCAGATCCTGTTTATGTGAGTTAAAAAAATATAATATGAAAGCAAAAGTAGTTATTTTACTACAACGATGAGCATAAGATCAGCTTTTCATGTGATTTAATATTGGTTTACTTTTTGTTTGTACACTGTTATGGAGTCTGATAAGTTGAGCTGTGCAGTTTTGTACAAGCTTTTACTTTGGTCTGTCTATCCCACTAATTATTTTGACGGCTTCTGCTATTTAAAATGATGTTTTAACTACGCAGGGTAAGTCAAAATGATTACCAATTACTCAGAATTAAGTGGATTAAGAAATTATTGATTACTTTTACTATTCCTTTCAGCCATATTGTAAATTTTTGTTTTCAGCTGTCTGTGAGCATCTGCTACGAACTGTTCAAAGTCTTATATTTTGCTTGGACTACGACTGCTTGGAAGGCGTACCACTGGCCATAACATGGATGTTGCTGTATTTTCCACCAAACATCCATTCTGGTGTTATTGATTTACTATGTTCAGTGGCAATCCCATTGATTTATAGTAGGTTATGTGATTAACTCTTCTTTTTTATGAGATATGATGTCATGTTATTTGTATGTCTGATCTATAAAATGTTTCACCACGAATATTTAAAAAGAAACTAATTACGAATTGGTCAAATTTGTGATTAAGCTTCTAGCTAAAAGCTTTTGACTACTTGGAGGTACATGTATGAAAGTTAATAAATAGGTGAACATTGTAGCAAATCAGTGTTCGTAATCTTATGCTGAAATTTTAATTTTTCACCCAAAACGGAAGTTGGAAACAACCGTTAACAATACGGTATTTGTATTTGGATCAATACAATCACTAAATCATGTTGACACACAAGGAGCTTCGTACTTCAATCGTATAACTTCAACTATTTCCATAATAATACTAGCGGAAGCAGATTTGTTGTGACTCATAGCCTCAATACGTACTACGGAATTAACAAACCGTTAAATAACAGAATCATGTCTTTCGTTATACTATCATAGTCGACTCATCATTTAGTCTTAAGTTTGTAGACAGTTAAACATTTCTTTCGGTTTAGTTGTTCTTATGTTGCAAATAACATTTGGTAATACCCACCGCCGTCTTTTTCTGCAGTGTTAACTCCTAACCTTTTAATAGCTCAAACTAATAACTAAATCTAGAATATTTGGATCAACCATTAATGATCTAAACAATGGAGCTCAGTGACGGAGAACCCAGATCATTTGGGTTCAGAAACTGTAACATTTCGAATCGCCCTGAAATAGGTCAGGAATCTGGTCCAGCTAGCGGTGCCTGGAATCACAGCATGTGCTTTCAGGAACTCAGAAGTATGACAAAGATGCCGCAGTCACCAGCCACCTAGCTGTGATACCTAGCTATGGTTCTTCATAGGAGACAAGATGCTGAATGCACCATCTATATATGCGTTTACTTTAAACCGTATTTTTTGGCGTGCTAAGTAGGTCTCACTGAACCAAATAGTGAGTTCAGACTCAAGAAAGCTAACATCAATGAATATAATGGTTAGTTACCAGCTAATGTCGCCAGCAGAAGACAGTCCTCCAAATAACTTCCACGTTGACATTCCTATGGTCAAAATTACATTCATACGCTGGAAATTTTTGAAGACATTATATGGGGACTCACAGATGGATAAAACCCAGTTGCATTATTGTCGTCATACATTGATAACTAGTCAAACACTTTCTGTCACTATAAGTGATCATTTTGGTATTCTGCTGGCCATAGGAAATCTATGAAATTCTAAACAAAATTTTACCATGGAGTAAAACAAACAGCGAGAAGAACAGTAATATCTTTGTAGGTAAATGTAAAAGAAGGATTGTCTTCTACTTAGAGAAGGTCACAATTTACCTCCACATAGTTATTTGTAATAGATTATCGCTGAAGTGTAGCGCAGTAAACAGTAATTTATCACTAAGCCCAAATCAGATTGGCACTAACTTCTGCAACACTCCAACTATTAGAAATAAAGTGATTTGAAAATAAGGTGTGAAAGAGGGCTTGGTGGGCTTTCTTACAAGTAAGCTTATTAAACTCCACATAGTTCAAATTTAGTGCACCTAGTAGCTGGTACATCTTAAAAATTTTCAGGTTAACAGATAGAAAAAGTCAGCCCATGAGAAGTTATACAAATAAGTTAAACAGAACTCATAAAATTTCAGTGAATAACATGAATTATAGTCAACAAGTCAGTTGTTGTGTTTATGGTAATATATGTCTACAAAATCCGTATGAATTTCAAAACGGCTGTCTTTTTTTCAGCAAGATTGATCATTCTTTATTTATTTATTCTTCACAACATGCATAAAGTAGGCTTTGGTGATTGTTTATCTTCGTTATGAACAACGAACTGATTTCTATGTTATTAGAGACAACTAGTTACATTAGAGATTGGAATACACTTCTCATATTAATCAAAAAGTTCTGAATTTTAGTTAAACTGATTTCAGTATGTGTATTTTAGAGATAAAAAAGTTTAACTGTGAGAAACTTAATGTAACTGATAGGAATTCTGACAATTTTTTGGAAAATGTAAAATGGAGAAATAGCTACGACGTTTATTACTGATAAGAACTACTATTCATATGAAAGTAGGTAAACAAGCGTTCTCAGTGATATTGGTATTACTCACTGGATAGTGAACTGCTTCATCAAAACTAAGTTCTAAATGGCAAGCAATAATTCGATCACCTCTTCTCTAGGTCATTTATTGATAGTATGTATTCACTTGACAAAATCATTCATTAAAGATACCTAATTAAACGAAATAATCAGTTTGATTCCTGATGTCTTTTGGAGAGTTTATACTACACTTTAAGACCTAGTTAACAAAACAGATGGGTTCTTTCCCTGTACAGCCAATTTTATGAAAAAAGAATATTTGGCCGATTCGGTAGTGATCACAGGGATAATCGCATTTATTATTCATCCATAAGATAATTATGGTCATGTTGAAACTCATGAAATTAGTGTGACGTGATCTCAGACATAATTTTCGAAACTGTTTATTTGATAATGGCAAAAATATTTTTGTGAAGGCCTAATTCTTTCGAAATTCATGTAAGTTCAGTTTACGGAGCCAAAGAAAAATTGCTATTGATCGTCAAAAAATTTTAGTTTTTTGTCTGGCAGAAACTACGAATAGTACGCCAAGTAAGGGTGGATAAATCCAAGTATATTCGTCGTCAAGTCTTTCTCAAAATCAGAAATATATTTTAACCTCCAACTGTCCTAAATGCCTAGTGTATTTTCTTTATTAGTCATTCCATGTGATTAAGTTTTATAACCAAGTGTCATTATCTGTCGTTAGGTTTCACCGTAGTTTTCTGGGAATTAAAGCATTCACACTAGTTACTGTGATTGGATTGATGCTAAGATAATGTAAGGCAAAGTGAACTATAGAACAAAATTATGTTGTCTCATATTGGCTGATGAACTAAAGCCATTCATACAAACTACAGCATCAAATTAATCTCCGAGGTTAATCAAAGCTGATGAGGTTGATTCGAGGTGAGTAAGACATTTGTTCCATATTTTAAGTGCCTTGACCTGGCATTTAGGCAGCATTGGTTGACAGGAGTAATGTTTATATAATATAATAAAGTTTTAAGTGACTTTTTAAATGTTTAGAAGATTTAAATATGTACTAAGATCCGTATTTATCAGTAAAGTAATTGATAGGTCAACAGATTTGCTCACAACCTTCATAATATTTCCTCTTTAAAGAGTGTTGGATTGAATAAGGGAGAAAAGTGAAGAGACTAAAGCGGAAATCATTGGCTAATACAAATTTAAAGTTACGCTAAGTTGTACCACACTTTCAGGGCTTCTTGGTGTGGTAAGTCTAGTGAGAAAATTCTATCGAATCGAATAAGACATAAAGGGAGCATGAAAGTTCAAGAGAATATTAAATACCAATATAATGCATGCATGATACGCTGTTAAATAATAACCTTGATAACTGTCGAAGTATAGGTAATAAGCAATGTTTTGCTTGTTCTTTTGTCCAATTATACACTAAATTGATAAAGTGAACGCATCAACTGATGATAAAAATTATGCATTTCAATCGATTCATCTAACTTATTATTGCTTCCATTAGTCAGAATTATTTCAATAAAATATTCAGTTAGGTAAAATTTTGTCTACTCTCTAATATGATGTATCGATTAAAGATAAATATCAATGACCAATAGGGAATAAGCAAATTGTTTATACATATTTACAATAGTTTGTTTTCCTTTGGTAGGTTGAATCTGATTTCCTTCCTTCTTTCTTTAGTTTTCATCATTTATGCCCTGATTACATATAAATCTCTGTATCACTAATTGTATGAACTGCTGTAGTTATATTTAACAAATGACAAAAGATTTAATCTTAAAAACGAATAAGTATCAAAGGTATTAATATTAGACTGCAAATTATTATTGTTGTTCCCTTGGATTCCGATTGGAACACAGGCCTTCAGCAGTACATCTCCTCTCCACCCTACTCTCTGAAGTCTATTTTATTTGGCTTCACGGTTGCCTATAAGTTTTCATTTCTTCCTTACACGATGCTTTTCATGTCACCCTTGGACGTTCAGCTAGTTTTCTCCCATTAGGGTTTCACTCGATGACCTGGCGCATGATGTCACTCAACGGTCTCCTCAGTGGCATATTTGTTGGACGATAAGCTCCTAGTTGATGAGACTACAAATATAATGAGTTAAATAAACATCTTTCTTGATAAGTAATAAAAATTTCAAATAGCTAATTAGGACAATGATTAGGCAAGTAGAATTCAATGAATTTATTTTAGATGAATAATTCAAATATAATTAGTCAATAATTTTATTATTAATAGTTCCCGAACCTTTTGTTTCACTAGATTTCATTAAACTGTGTAACACTTAACTTTTGACTTTTTCACATTATAATTACTTATAAAAATATTACACCTTTATGTCACATCGAATTTGAACTTAAGAGGGTAAAAGTAAGGAAGAGACACCACAGTCGGGTGACCCTGAACCAACTAATCAGATCGCTCAGCGTTACAAATGCTTTTCACAATCTTCGTTGGAAGTGTCATTCTGATTCAGGGTTAAGGTTGGGATGGGATTAAGGTAGGGTTATGATTAAGGTTGGTGTGAAACTTACAACAAAGATTATGAGAAGCATCCATTTATAATACTGAGTCATCTGATTGGTTGATTCAAGGTCATTTGACTGTGGTGTCTACTCCTCTCTGTTGCCCTTAAGAATAATCTAATTTCTATAGAAAACATGAGCGATCACATTTAAAATATCATCTATAGAATCTAATCAGAACTTTGAATTAGAAAAGGTGACAATTTTCATTCCCCAATGAATAAATAATGTACCTAAACCAGTCGTACAAAGAGTTAAGCAGAGCTTGGTACCGCTTTCGATGGCAGGTTTTAATCCATGAAAGACAATCAGTTTATTACAGTAGTGATAACTGTCAAAAGGAATGATTACTTTAGTCCAGTGTTTCTTGCCTCCAGTAACCTAACAAATGACTAGTATTTTTTTAATTCTACATAAAGTATAAAATCTTTGTAAAGTTGTAGATAACAGATTAATTTCCTAATCTAGAAATAGCCATATATTATGAATAGGCGCAAAGAAATTACTTTATCTTTTCACTGAAGAATACGTTATGCATTATATGACGAAAGGTGTCTATGTGAACTGGGGAAGAAATTCACCCATGACAAGTAATTGAAGTAAAATAACAGCAAAGCATTGAAGTAATCCACTGAATTCGAAATTCAAACGTTATAATTTTATGTACATTTGATTTCTTGAAAAGAAAACACACTATTCTTTCGAATTTCTTGGAATAACAAAAATCATTAAATATGATACATATTGTAAATGGATGTTGCTGTCTTCTAATGCTTTGCTTTTAGATATAACAGATGACCAAGAGTCCTATGCAGTTGACTGTATTCCCTCTATTTTAACGCTGGTATTTCAACATGTAGAAAAAGTTGGTAAGTAAAATGATCGATATATATATATATATATACTGTACGGTTGAGGTGATTTCGATTATAGTAGAATATACAATATCCTACACGTAAACATTCTACCTGCGTGAATAAACACTTATCTACCTATTACACTTACCAAAGATATGGAAGCAAGATTCACACCAAGTGGTGTAAAACTGGGATGAGAAAAGCTAAGAGTAACCACACCAAGGAATGACATCAATTAAGTTCAAGTGTCTCAGAAAATTATTGATTATGTCTTATCCAACTCAATGACTTCCAAAGAAAATACGATTTCCAAATTCTGTCACACTGATATTAATTAGATCCACACAAGTCTAACAATGGAGTTTCATTCTATTGCTTTTTAGTGACTAACTTCGAGACTGATTTTTAAAGATTCTAATGATTAGCTAAGATTGGTAGATTCAGTTAAGTCAACGGTGAGAACAATTACTTAAAGGTAACACTATATTTTGGCAGCGTTATATATTCAACAAACATAAGCTGGAAATCACAGGCTATAAGATTCCGATCTAATGATTGGATGGAGATACAACTATGTAAAGCCACTAGTGTTTTGCTTGTGATTCTTGGAAGACTGATGAACAGACACTGCTGAAGTGTTCTGAACTACCCTAAACTACCTATCTATAGCTCCAGTGTTATTGGTCTGTAACGAAATATATCTTAAAAGAATATTTTTAGTAAATACTGAAATTTTACTAAAAAATTTGAAAAATGATAAGTTCAGACCTCACTGGTAAAAGTGTGTATGGCGGTTCAGCATACATCGTATTCCTGAACTGTTAAAATGACTGTAAGCTGTAGAATTCTCAAGGCATTCTAAAGACCAAATGTTGTTATTTGTATGAGAATTTATTTTTCTGAAAGGTGAGTGTTTAGTAGGCGTGAGACATAAAGTTAGATTAAAATTTTCTTCAACTAGCACTGATACACGTAAGCTTACTGTAACAGAAACAAGGGATTTCTACTCAAGCCGCCATCATCTACAAAGTTCATTGAAATCAAGACGCACTAGGTAGGTTAGGATTCTCCTTGAGTGCACACTGAAAACCTTGGGAGGGACTAACCTCACGATCCTTAGATTATATCATCTTGGCACTTGTATAATGAATCAGTTGAAATTCAGCATCCCATGATTCTCAACTTCTGCTAACAGGAGTATTAAACTGCCTTACAGTTATTTTGCGTCAAAAATGTTCGACTAATTCGGAGCTGCAAAACATTTTGATATCGTATTGTCATACTTTAAAGATGGTTAACTAATTGACCATTCGAAATCAGTTAACTTATTTTGTTGTTGTATTGGCTACGCTGAAGTATTTAACAGCAACACCAAAAACATCTCTAACGTTAGCCATTATTTGAAGTACGCTGTTTATGGCAGTATATAGTTTTAGACAATCAAGACAAAAATGTTTACATTAGATGTCTGGAATGCAATCGTTGGGAAGCCTTAGACCTAGGTTTCATGCTAGTTGGCACTCATCAGCAAGGCGTATCTGCAACCTTGAAGGAAGTCACGTCCCTTCTGGGATTGGAACCCGCGTCACCCAGTGATGATGCAGTCAGAGACGTTACCACTGAGCTATTCTAGCTCGCGATTGACCTTTTGTAGGACTGTATAGATATTTTGATTGGACACTAGTTAGTAATTAGTGTAATGTGTCTATTCTTTTGTTTGATACAGAATGAATTCTGTCAGTCAAGTTTAGGAATGTTTAGGAACACTAAATTGTTATAGTGGTTGATATGAATGTCTTATGCCTATGGGAGTTTATGTATCATTTTTTCCAAATATCTATTTTACATTTCAGAATACCATGTTTGGGTATTGGAGAGTTTCATGTCAAGAAAAAAAGACTTATACAAAGTGAGTCTAGAAGACATGTATATTGATTTCTTTTTGTCAAATAACAGAAACATCTATTTAATGTTAAAAGGTTTATTATTTAACTAGTATTTAATAAATACATTCTAGTGAATCAGGGTTTTTACTGACGTACGTCTGAAGGATAAGTAAACACCCCCGTGGCTTCAGTTAGCCTGTATTCGGTCAAAACAATGCAGACAGTTATAAGTCAGTGGGAAAACACTCTAACACTTATTGCTCTGATAGACAAAAATGTAAAAAGAAATTACTGATATGGATTTCTCTTAAGTATATGGAGAACTACCTTTTATTCGACAACTAACCATAAGTCAGTGAACAGAGCTTTTGAAAAGGTATCATATTGGTCTTCTATTTGATTATTTCGTTATAATACCTGAATCATTTTTTATGTGATTTCTTTTGAATAGGATTTACTAATGATTATAGCATATGGGCCTACAGAAGCCAGACTTCCAGCTGTTTGCTTATTTTTTCATTATTGGCCAGAAAACTACCCAACAGCTTTTTATGGGAATCAAGTATTACAGCCAGTACATTATACATGGGAGTGTAAGTAAAAAGAAATACAATTGTTGCCTATTAGCAATTCCTAATCCCTATGATTTTTCATCATAGAGTGAATTTATTTGATAAAGTCTCACAGTGTTATGCAGTATTATTTACTGATGATGTTTGAGAGAAATTTATTGCTCATAATCACATCATATGATGGAATTATACTCTACTACAGTTCCAAAGTTCTATTTTTATATCTTATGGCGTTTAAGTCTCTTTGATTCCTTTAAAGAACATACTATTCCTCTTACATTCGAACCAAAAGGTGAAGCCGTTGCCTTCAGTGATTTATATGAATTAAATATTTTGAAATCAATTCGATTTCCCGTATTAGGTGACAGCTACATTTAACACTCGTCCATTACTACAAAATCTTTCGTATAACATGTGAAGAAATATATATGAAACACAATCCATTTTCCTGTATCATATAGCCGTGTCTCTATGGAAATAAGAGTTGCTTGAACAGCTGCTATGAGATTATGTTGAGCTACATTAATGGAAAAATCAGAGTTATAAATAAACAACGTGAATTATTTGTTGTGGTTCAGTAATCAGGTAGATAGTAATAAGAGGTTTCATAGTAAATTTAGTGAGAACGCTGAGGGGCACGGGTATGAAACTTCATTCAACCGACAAGTCATGAACGGAATGAAAGCGTGAAATAACTTTGACACTAGTATACAAAATTAACATTATCTTATTTTAATTGTAAGCTAACAATCATCATTTTATAGGGTTATGACAGGCATTATATCTTATCAGAGGAATATTTTACTGAAAGTCTTATAATTTTGTAATAAATAATAGTTTTAGGCGTTGTGTAGATTGATTTACAGCATATTGTCTCCCTATGCAAAGTTTATAGCTGCTGTCTTAACGTTTTATTACATCTGATGTAAGTGTAGAACTTGGGCACTGTGGTAGAATGTAATTCCATATTAGATAAGTCTATTTTAAATATCACACAGTGATGCAGTATGAACAACTGGGTAACGTTTCGAGCATAAATTATTGCTCATAATAATGAATAGTAATAATAACTTGAAAGTAGCAACAAACAACAAGGGGAAGATGGAGAGAGAGGATATATAAGACAAATTGTGAAGCCGTGTGACTAAACTGATATGATTATGAACAATAATTTATGCTCGAAACGTCATCCAGTTGTTCATACTGCATCACTGAGTGATATTTAAAATCAACTTATCCAATATGGAATTATTATATCTAAATTTACTAAAATATCTCCCGTGTTACACGAATATGGACTCAACACATGCACTTCATAACTTTAACTAATGGAATAATCACTTGTTAAATTCATGTATTTTAGCTTGGAAACCAATCACATGTTACAGAAACGATTGCCCAAACAAAACTGGAAAAGCATTGGCAATGAAGGTAAGTTAGCAAGTTTAAATTCAAATAGGTGTCTATGACCGTTTTTGTCTTAAGAGTAAAACAATGCAGTAGTTTGCATTACACTTACGAAACATTTTTGCCTAGACATGTTAATTTACAACTAAGTTATATGCAAGTGTCAAAATGAAATGTGTGATGACATTTGCATCAACCTTCTACTTAAAAGGAAATAAAATTTGCGCCAAATGAACTACTGTGTAGCTGGATAAAAAGTAAATCAGGTGACCAGAAAGTTTAAAATCCAAGTCAATAGAAAGTGGTCAATACATATGTAAAGATAGTCACCAGGAGACGCAATTACATCACGTATGAAGAAATTTAAATCATTTTACTTTGTACTAAATATGGCGTTGAAGATGTTGTCCAGAGGGACGACGAAAGCTTCGCAACTAAACCAACCAGCTCAGAGAACACTATTAATTGCAAAGCTGGATATGTGTTAAGAAATAATAAGATGAAATAATATTAAGTCACCTTATTGTACTGAATTAGTTGTGTTCTCTGAGCTGGTTGATTTAACTACGAAGCTTTCGTCATCCTTCTAGGCAACATCTTCAGCGGAGGTTTTAGTATAAAAGGGACTTATTTAACTTCTCCATGAACGATGCAATTGTATCTCCTGACAACCATTTTTGTGACTGGATGTTAATTTACGTCTTTATTGATCACATTTCTATTGACTTGGAATTCGAACTTTCTTGTCATTAGATTTATTTTTTATTTGCTCGTGAAAGTGGGCGTTCCATTCGAATCAGAATTCAAGAACACAAATTAGCTATAAAAAAAACATGAAATATATTCCTTCGTATCAATGTAAGTGGATAATTATGCACACCAATTTGATTGGGAGAATGTAGGAATTTTAAATGGAGGAAACACCAAAAATGCCGGAGAATTCCTAGAAGCCTGATACTCAAGTGAGTCAGCATTTAACAAACACATTATTTTAGACCAAATTTACCAGCTGATAAAAAGTAAATCTCATGACAAGAAAGTTCGAATTCCAAGTCAATAGATATAGAGACGTAAATTAACATCCAGTCACGACAGTGGTTGCCAGGAGATACAATTGCATCGTTCATGGAGAATTTAAATAAGTCCATTTTATACTAAAACCTTCGCTGAAGATGTTATCTAGGAGGAAGACGAAAGCTTTACAATTAAATCAACCAACTCAAAGAACACAATAATTCAATATCATCCACCTGAGCTACAAATCTTCTCCATTATTTCATCTTATTGTACCCCACAACTGATTCTAACTAAATGTTTCTGTAAGCAATTCATGCATCCGTATTCAACTTTCATCGAAATAGATTTTGCTGATCCTTACTGAATATTTACTTTTGTAACTGATTTTCACTGTAGAACTGAGAATTTCTTTTCAGGCACGTCGTCACTGGTTGAATGGCTAACCACCGTGTGTTTGTATGCTCACTTTTAAATTTGACTTTGCTACTAATACACAATCCAAGCCTTCGTTTGTGCCTTTTGACTAAATATTGTTGTATATAGGTAAAACGCAATGTATCGTGAAGGTGTCAGGTTCTAGTCTGCAACAATCTATTCTAATGATGACAAAATGCTTTTCTAACAACTTTATCTTATGGGTAACCACACCACAATATATAAACTTAATATTAACTGAATAACAGTGGAAGCAGTTGTGCATGTTTCTGCACAAAATCATTAAAATCCATGTCATTATAAATCCTACTTAAGTACATGCAGTAATTAGAGTTATTTGTGCCTAAGCTTTTGATGTTATCCACTTATATTGCATATGCACATATCGTTTTTCTTATAGATGACTGTGAATCCGAAAATTTCGATTCAACAAAGTGGGAAACCACCGCCGTTGTATGTTTGCCTAGATTGTGCAGATGCGTTAAATCGTCTAGATTTTGATCAACTTGTGGATATTCTTTTGCCTACAAAGCAAGTAAGTTGAATATGATCATCAGATATGTCGATATATTGATCGATTTTCTTTCGTAATTCATTAAATTCAAGCTTCTTGGTTAAAGTGTCACTCTTTTATGAAGCGGGTTGTTCTGAATTGAAGACTATCATATAATTTATATTACAGATTACTATGAAAATTTCTTTTCTACCAACTTATGCTGTGGCTTTCATTTATTGGTAAAGATTATTGTTAAGTTAGTCAATAAACCTTTGAAAACCATCATTGTGAAATTTATATACTTTTCGATACGACTGAGACATTTCGCGAGTATCATAGTGATAACATCCATCCACATATGTGACATAATTTCATATCGGAATCCATTGATCCCTGAAGAAAATTATCAGATGTCATATATGCATTGGAGAATTTACCAGTTGCAATGAGTGTACTGTTGTAATATTCACATTAAGTGTTTTCTAAGTTTCTCTGAAATAAATGAACTGTAAATGTTTTGAAATGTCAAAATCCCACATACCAGTTAGTGTTCTGATTTTCATCGTGTTATAATGGCTTATTTTTTTTTACAGGTGTCCATTTTAATTATTGATTTCACTTACAGTCAATTTACTCCAAGAATGTGTAGCAAATTTTTAAAATGCTGTATTTATATACAGCGAAAAAACCTAAGTGTGTTTTTATATCTTGAACTGAATAAAATATAAATAAAGAATAAACATAAAAAGCTGACTAAAGTTAGAGTGCTATCAATTTACTCTAGATCTACAGCTTATTTCAATGTTATTAATTCTTGTGTCTAGATATTATTATTATTAATTGTTCCCTTGGATTCCTAGTGGAACATAGGGCTTAGACTACACATCTCCACTTAATTCTGTCTTCTGCTGTACCTTTCACATGCATCCATGTTAGTCCACACTGTTTCAGCTCCTCTTCACACGATCTCCTCTATGTCACCCTTGGACGTCCCACTCGCCGCTTCCCTTTCGGGTTCCACTCGAGCTATGGCCTGACGCTCGATGTCACCCAGCGGCCTCTTCAGCGAGTGTCCAATCCATCTCCACTTCCTCCTGCATATTTGTTGTTTGGCGATTGGTTCTTGTTTTGTTTCTTCCCATAGTTTCTTGTTGGTGATTCTTTCCGACCATCTGATCTTGAGTATAGAGCGAAGACAGTTGTTGATAAAGGTCTGCAACCTATTTCGTGCGAATGCAATAAAATATCCATGCATATCTTCAGTATTTTCAGTTCATTCAGTAGAAATCAGTCGACCAGCTGACAGATTCAAAATAATAATGTCATAATCAATACGAAAAATTGTTCAGACCGATAAGTTATATTAAGATGTCGGGAATATTTATATATCTTACTGGAAGGAATTTTCTTGCAACAGAGTATGTGTTGACGTTATCAACATAGTTGACATAAGAAGTTTAGTTACTGGATTTCATTATGAGCTGACATTGGTTAGAGAACAATTGGAAAACCTGGGAGTACTGGACAGTTGTTTCGTCTTAATTTGGGACTCTTCGTCGGGTTTTCCAATGGTTCTCTAACCAATGTCAGCTCATGATGAAATCCTGTAACTAATCAACCGAATCCCTACAAGCCAATACTTGAAGTTCAGTTACCCTTTTAGTTAGATGATTCCATAATATTAACAAAATGGAATGGAATAAAATACGGTGAGTGGGATACAGAAGACTAAAAGTGAATTTTACTCTATAAATCAGATCTCATGAGAAATTGGTGTCAGCTGAACTATGATATAATTAGTAAGAGTGTGAAGAGCAAAACTGTTTATGAGATTGTGAATAATTATTCGAGGATAACGATTTTAGCTTTATGAAATGCAGTATGAATATATCATTTTGTTCAGAAGTGAATAAAAAGGTATTATACATAGATGGATGCTTTTAGATATGTCTTATTCATTAATACTGAACCTGTCAATACTGTTTCAGCGTAGACAGAATGTCAATATAAGCAGTATCCTTAATAATACTTCATCAGGAAATGTCTCTGACGTATTTTTATATTTTTAAGAAGAATTCCTAAACTGGACAGCATATGAGTTTCTTAAATGACTTCATTTTCGTAAATTAATACTAAGGTTAGCATCTAAACTTCGTAGGTTGAACAATAACTCAACTCCTGAAACCTCCACGACTGTTGATGCAATTTTTAAATCGAATAATATGACAGTGTTTTCTGTTTATTGACTGTTTCAAGTCTGAATATCACGAGGATAAAATTATCAGCTATGCACCGATGAGCTGTGTTTCCAAAATTTATGAACTATACAGCATTTTAGAGTTACCAATAAGCATTGTCGACTACGAAAGTTGGCTAATAAGTCATTTACAGGTATGACTGATTTCTGAGTTGCGTGAATCTTCATTTTTTTTCATTTAATTCACTGTAACCACGTCGTTTTGCATCTTCTGTTGTCTGTTAATCAATTCATTTACAGATCAGTTTGACATGTGAGTCGAAGACATGTCGCAGCAAGAATAATTCAGCTTCTGTTACATGTTGGTCTAGTGGTTGTACCTACCTGACAGGAAATCGAGCTATCAGGCTATGTGAACTATGTCATACAATTAGGCATATTTATTCTGATGCCAGTCAGTCGTCAGAAGGAAGAAATAAGGAGACTGTTGATACCAGTGTGATGCAAAGTACTGCAGATGTACCCACCAGCGATGATAATAATGTAACTGATAATGATAACAATAGAAGTAAAGATCACAGTACATCACACATATATCAGGTATGTCACTTAAGACGTTCTTTGAAACCATAACTTGAATGCTTGAAAACTTATTTATAGTCGGCATTCCTAATATGAACTTTATTACTTCACTGTCAAAATTTATCAAGATCGGTTATTTATGAAAATTTTAATAACCTTTGATATTCAGATAAATGTTACTACATTTTTCATAATCCAAAACTTTTCGGAGATACTCATACTAACATTTTAGAAACCAATCACAGGAATCTGATAACCTACATACAGTAAATCGGAGAGTTTATCGTTTCTATTGCAAATAATGTTTCTCATTCGTTTACGTTCCTAGTGGGACATAGTGCTTCAAGCTTTCAAGTTTCAGTAGCAGTGGTGCTGTATTTCTGGGGGGGGGGTGAGGTTGTCATCACTACACCCAAAATTCGCTCTCCTTCAAAATTACTACCTTCTAGTAAACTAGTTGAAATTTACGGTTGCGTAAGTCAGGAATCAAACTAGGACCTTTAGCGTAACCGATAAGCATTCTACCACTGAACCACCAACGTACATGACACAAATAATGTGCGTCGGTGGCATAGCGGTTAGGACACTCGCCGACCATGCACATGGTCCGGGGTTCGATCCCCGGCCGACGCACTCCTTTACCTCACGAAGCCAGAAATAATGCTGGTGAAGGGGAAAGGTTGGGCATGAGGCTAGCAACCCCATCCTGTAAAATAAACACTGCTACAGAAACTTCAAGCCACTAGCTTGAAGCCCTATGTTCCACTGGGGAACGTGAAGGATAAAAAAAAAAAAGTAAAAAAAAAACATGACAAATAATAACAGTTTATAATTCCACTTTTGACTCTTCACACAACTTAACAGTTCATCATTCTGTCATCACTTTATTGTTTTGACCTGAAGAATGAATAGCAATAACCGTGTGCTTTTACTTATTTCTATGAAAAAATAGCAGTTGTAAACATGCAAATCTAGTGCAGATGAGGCTTCGACTATAAATGTTGAATTCCTTACCAACTCTTCTCACATATATTAGTTTTCAAACTGATAATATACTGGAATTTGCGTATAAACACTGAAATTTCTAAGACAGAATTTATGAAAAATTCATAAGCAAATACATATTTTTTTCTGCACTATTTTTGTGCACACCTAATCCTTATAAAGGTGACTTTTGCGCTGTCTGGAGAATATGTAACTTCCGTTGACTTGATATTTCCCAAACGTTTTCATTACTTGATCGTGGATAATGAAGTTTCCCATTCTGGTATGACGATATTTAGATCAGTTAATATATATTCTGTTTACTCAACTTGTTTTCATTAATCTAACATATTTACAGAGTTCATTACCAGACGTTTGGGATATGTCAATTGACTCTCAACCCTGTATGATTCAATCAATAATATCCCTAACATTAGAAACAATGCCACGATGGCGTCAAGTATTGTTGGGTGGTGTAGAGAATGGAGACGAAGTCACAAATCGAGCTGTGACTGGATTAACATGCCCTGGTCCTAGTGCTCCTGGTGGGCCGACATCTAGCAATGAAATGGTTATGCTTGGATTAAGTAGCGGAACTATAATTTCTTCAAATTTATCTGGAAATCCAATGGCCAATACGACGACAGTCACAGTGGGTGGAGGTGTTGTCGCACAAACATCTTTTAGCGATTTTGGGACAGCACAAATGGTAAGCACGTCACTAAATTTCACAATTTCAATGATTAGCAAATATGTGGGGGGGTAGAGTAACATTTGGATATATTACCTGATATGGTACTTGAAATCTTTACAATAACTTGAGAAATTTAAGTGTGATTTCCCTCTGGAACACAAATATTTAGGTTGGAATTTATCTTGACTTATAACTGTAAATATCGACAAGACTGTGAGAATAACAGTGATTAAATATATGCTACTGATAGATAAGAGTAACTGAAAACTTTTCACACAATCCAGTCGAGTTTACCAGCGATGGTTTATGTCAACCAAAAACTACTGTAATAATTATCAAACAAGTAAATGCCGTTCTCAATCCTAAGTGGCATTCAGTTACTCATATTGACTTCTAGTACATTTGATATAGTCCTCAGCTATATTGTCTGATATGTGTATACTTTATTCAATGTAACTGAGAGTAAATATTTTCACTCATTTTTCACAAAGACTGGATTAACAACACGTAACCAAACAGGAGCTGGTGTAACTAGTGGCGGTGGAATTGCTGGTATCGCTAATGGCTACGGACATAATTCAGGAGCAGAAACTGGAGCAATAACTCTACTTGGTCGCTACCGTGATGAAGATCATAAAGTTCTAGCAGTATATGGGGCTTTTCTTGTCGGTGAAAAATGCAGACCTCGTGAACGAATTAATCTTGTAAGTTAACGTGAATTCTGTAGATGAAAGTATTTATAATTAAATTGAAAATTTGAATAATAATTGTCCATGTTGAGATTTAGAGATAATGGCTGTTTCATAGAATAAATTAGTTGTGTAATGAATGCAAAACCTATTTTTCTTATTAGAGCTTATATTGTCTATGCAATCAACGTGTGTTTTATTGAATTAGTATAACTTCGTATATTTCTACTCGGAGGAAGATAATTCATAATCCTGTTTTTGAAGGCAGTCAGTTGTAAAGAGAAATAATGACACCACTGAACTAATGAATTACGTACATATATGAGTTGACTCTACTGTAAAGTCACTTTTTAGCCACACAGGAACTGTTGCGTAACTTAATCACTCTTTTGCAGTTAGGTATTATTTTCAAAAGCGTCATTACCAAGTTAGTTATTTTCAGAACAGTAAAATATTGATTTATTCCTTTATTGACTGAAAATGAAACATTCACTACCGAGCTGAATACAAGACGTGGTGTTTCAGTAGACCGTTTGGCAATTTTCGCTAAAATTCAGAAGGAATCAATAAAAATTTTAAGTTTAACAGTAGGAGAAATAGCAGAATAGTGAGATCACTTCGATCTGGTTAACAAGCACTACTGGTTGATATGAGTGACATCCAACTACTCATTCCAATCAATCAGTAGTATATATTGTCATGCAAGAATAACAAGCAGTTTGCGGAAATAAATCAGATTGTTTCTTTAATGCCTTCAAAGCAAAATAAGCGTCATTAATCATTTATAGTTTGATATGATGAGATGTACTAATAAAAAAGTCAAGTTCTGTAAAAGTAACGATATTGAATTTAAAACATTTCAGGATATGTTACAAAGTCCATCCAATACATTCATGTTTTGTTAATTTCCTACACCTTTCAACCAACTACTTAGGAATTACTCACAAGAATAACAGCTGGTATTTTTAACTGGTTTCTCGATACAATTTATACTGCTGAAGGTTTGTTTGTTTGTGCATGATGTGTTTACATATTTACATTTAACTGTTAGTCTAGTGTTCAATGTTGTCAGATTGTAATGACATATGCATGCTGCTTAGTAAAATTTAATTTTTGTATATCAACTAGTATAATGCACTTGTGGTAGTATTATTTAAACATTAAGAAAATATTTTAGAGATGGAGTTTCCATTTGTCTCATTCTATAATACCTCAGTGATAAACTTTATTAACGATGATGCAAAGTGTATTGTTGTCAACTGTAGTAATGTTCTTCGAGTGTGAATAGCTGAACTGTTCTGAGCAGAAAAGTTGTGTCATTTTTATTTCGTGAAAGAGGAACACTGCAAAAGATAAAAAGTGACAATTAAATGTTGTTTGTTTTACTATCTTCAATGAAACGACTCTGAGTGTTGGACAAAGAATATTCTTTTCGATAACTTATTCATCAGGTTCTACAGTTATATATCCATAATAATGTACGCATCCATAGAGTACTGAGTGAAATAATTACTAACAAGTTAAGAAAATCTATTCAAAGAACTTCTAATGCTGGTATACTACAAGTCATATTTTCTACACGACCGGTTGTGATTCCTCAATTGAAAGATGAAGTACCTAGACTAGCCACCTGTAATTGTATCTACCAATTCAACTGCGCTTGTGGTGGAGCGAGTTATATTAGCCGTTGCTCTAGGAACTTGATTTTTCGTGCTCGGGAACACCTACTGGTGTGGTTGAATAAAGGTGTAGTGAAAAACACCAACAGTTCGATATTAGACCACTTGGTCCAAACCTGCCACATAGCTAGCACTGAAGAATCCTTCTCCATCATCTATCGAGTACCAAATAATTGCCAAAAGCACCTAGGTACTGAAGGCTCGAAACAGCAGAGGCTATTGAGATTCCCATGAAACAGCTGGTGCTGTGTGTGCAGTATGGAGAGGTGGGGCCACTGTTACTTCCCTGGCTTCCTGTGGAGTCGATAAATTCATGAATTCTGTATTATCATTTCTGATATTCAGTGTAGTGTTACGTTGATGCATATTATCACAATTACAGATACTGATAAACTGTAATCTGTTTCGTATTATTGATTCGATGTTATTTAAACATTAATATTGTTAATAAGCCTAATTCTTTCATTATTATGCATATATAACTGTAGAAACTGATGATGAAGTTATCGAAAAGAATATTCTTTGTTCAGTAATCAGTTTTTTGAAATTTTTTAATGGGCATTTTCGATCAACTCTTAATGCTTTGTTGACATATTACTTTTTTCTTTTACTAGCATAAATTCAGTGCATGATATGAAATGCCACTTTTCATTCGTAATATATTTACGCCAAACGTTTTCATTGTTAACTAACTAACTAACTACACAACCATAATCTGCTTTTAGTAACTTCATTGAATAGTTAGATTTCTAGTGAACACTACACAAGAAACTTCAATAAAGTTTTCTATTATTTCATATTCCCTCTAAGTTGTCGATTTAGAACTAGTATCATTCTTTTAGTGAGTAATTTAATACTATGTAACAGGTAACTGTTTCAATCTCCATGTGATAATTTGATTAAGAAAATATATAATTCATCGTTAATACGTGTCTGTCTCCACTTATGTTAATTACCTATGATTCTTTCAAAAATGGTAAGAAGGATATTGAAAAATAGACGATTTACGGAGTATTTAATCCAATCTTCGGACAACACAGTAAGATATTTAAGTGGGGACATTATTCAAGTGGAGGTTTGGCATATTTGTTTGAGTATTTATCTGCTGTATTATCAGATTATCTCAACACACAAACATGTAGTGCGCTGTCAATCTTAATTGATCCGAACAACAATAATAGAGATTGTTCTTAAAAGCTGACAAATTCCAGAGCTCAGTTTTATGATCTCGATAATGCTGTTAGGTATCAAAAATTATAATAACAAAATTATAAATATAATTGTAAATGTTTTAAAGCAGTTCACATCACTTTTTACCTGTCTTCAATTTCTTTGGCAAGTATTTTGTCACTTTTTGGAGGTTAATGCTTTTTGACAGATCTGAAGTAGCTTTATTTAGTGCTCCAGTTCAGAGATTGTAAACACGTAATTTGAAATCAGAGTTTTTTGGCACACAGTGTTCGCACTGGTCAGTTAGTCAATTTATCACTGTGTCGGTCAGCTGCATTTCTAATTTGGTACTAAATGAGTTGTGACATTTTATCACTTGAATGAATGCTTGTCCATAGAAGTAACAAAATATTCAATTTTACAATATACCAATTCTTTGAGGTTGTTACTTAACGATTACAAAAGTAAATGTATCTAATTATTTATTGATTTTTAGCAAGTATTACCTTCGATGGTCGAGGAAATCTGAGGCAACGATGTAAATAATTCAATGTACACTTTAAATATATTTTTGCTTATAGTATTTATATACACCAGTTACTATTTTCTCTAATCTTTGGATAAATGCGTAAATTTATGCATATGCATATATATGTATGTCAAATGTGTCATCACACCTGCTTGGAAATGCAGCCTTATACACTCTTTCTCACTCACACACACACTGCTTTTAATGTATCTCTGCACTTATCTTCCTGCATTAAATTCACTTTTTTATATATTGAAATAGCCGCAACTGTTCTACGTATACCCATTATAATTGCTTTATATGTTTTTATATTTGTTTGCAATTAAAGCATATGATTAATAATTATCAATGTAAGCATGAATGCATCAATATCGCGGAATAGTGTAAAAATTTGATATATATATATATATATAAAGAGTGAAAGTGATTCTTGACGCTGCATCGAACTTTGAACAGCGTATCACTGATGTATTTGAAACATGTAACGAGTATTCTTCTCCTTTAACTACATATTTTATACTTGGCAATAACAATTTACTTTGGATGAACAGCTAGCGGAAACATGATGATAGAAGCTAACTTCTTCATTTCACTACAGAAATTAACTCGTGCAGTAGTTCTTCACTTCATTTTATGTACAGCACTCAATAACTGCAAGTCTTACTATTTAGTTACTCTTGTAATTTTCTTGTAAATACTCCAATATATATACTACAAACTGCAGACTTTCGTCAACAGTTGTCTTCGTTCCATACTGAAAATCAAATGACCAGAAAGGATTAGCAACAAGGAACTCTGACAGAGAACCAACTAATAACCTGTTTCCCAATAAATTACCAGAAGGAAATGGAGATGGTTTTGAAAGACACTGAGGAGATATCACGCTCTAAACCCTCGAGTGAAAGACGAGTGGAAAACGATGAGTTGGACGTCCAATGGTGGCATAGAGAAGATCATGTGCGGAAGAAATAGAAGTTTGTGGGCCACCTTGGAGCTAGGTAAAGAAAGACTGTAGAGAATAGGATGAAAAGTGTGCTGCTGGAGTCCTATATTCCATTTGGAACCAAAAGAACTGATATATATGTTGGAGGTATTTACTATTTGTCTAGTCACACTAAAGCCCTCCAACGTAAATCAAGTCGGAAGTGTCAGCATTCAAATGGAATAATCTGCTGTCCAAATGGAAATCATTATTTCGTTCATGAGAAATAATTTTGAGATATGATTAATTATGTGACTATGTGATTGTTCGACAACACAGACATATCTATTCTTCATTATCCACAAAATTATGAACGCCAGATTGTTCTTTATTTATTCATTTATTGTCTATTTTTGGGTAGTCTTTGAAACATTTATATTAGTGCAGTTCCAATGAAAGCATAATATGAATGTTATTAATGGTCCTTTGTCAAGGAAACGTTTTTATCTACAAGTGATGAATAGAATTCTTTCATTTAAACAAATAAATAAACTTTAAGGAGGCTTTTAGTCAATGTCAGACTTGGACCAGTATTTCAGTCTATTTCTGCCCAGCCATGTAATGTTTTACATTGACCCTTTTGTATGTCCGTCCATTTATTTATTGGCCAAAATTGTCTGTCTGTCTGTCTATTTTCGACATAGAACTTTGTACATATGTACGAGTCAAGTCACACATTAAAAAAGAGAAGAAGTAGAGAATGATAATATAGACAGTAAACAGAGGTGTGAGACAAAGGAATAGTAATAACGGAGAACAAAACAGTTTAATTGGAAATCATAAGTCACAAGGAGTGTATGCATCTGCGCTAGCCATTGAGAACGATTTTGAGCCATGTCACCAATTGTTTCTAACCATTGGTTTTTACTGTCCCGAGGACCCCAACCAGGAAGTCTACACCTTCCTACGTGGCTTAGACTAACTGTTGTAGATTTCATTGACTGGTGCCATGTTTTCGTCTGACCGCCGCTAGCTCTTTTGCAGCCTGACCCTATATCAGCTAACTTTGGCCAAAATTATATTGTACGGAAATTGACTTGGATTCCACGATCGGATATTAGACAATTAATGAAGAAAAAGAAAGAGTTCAGGATATGTTTAGATTCAGTTTTCCACATAATTTAGTTTGGAAAAGTAGACAGAATGGTTTACGATTGCAAAATTCCACTTATAGTCAGTGAATCAGTGTTAGTTGTAATTCACATAGTTGAGAAGGATTGTATATCTAACGGACAAAAGGCTCGGAGTTATTCCACCTTTCTTTCACATATCATCTCACTTATTCACTGTAACTTATCTTCTTTATTATTTAAATCGTCTTCATTAATTTTTTTTATCAGTCAAGTATTTTTTTTATCAATTCACAAGTTTTACTCATCAGTATATTGTATCCACTGTGAATTGATAAATGACGCATAGAACTAGAAGTTTTTTTACTATATAATAAAGTGTAATTATAAATGAAATATTTTTCTCAATGATCAGTTATCTTATCATCAGTAATACTTATTGTTAAGTCTGCAATTTTATAATACTGATGTTTTGCCTAAACCATATAAAAAGTATCCCTTACCAACCAATTTATCCCAATTTATCTTCTACTTGTATGCTTGTATGGTGTAAAGAATGAGATTTGCCACATTATATATATTTATATATAAATTGCCACCTAATATTATATATTCCCACTTTTGCATGCTCATTTGTTTGGCTGATGATATTATGTATATGTATAAATATTTATTACTGAATATAATACTATAGACTCTATAGTATCCCTAAGATTTTTAATAAGTAAATGGACTTATAAAGAAGAACATGGAGAAAACTGACTGCATACTTTGCATTATGGAAGATTCTTCATACAAAGGATCTCGTCAAATTCAGAAATCGCTCCATTTAATAATGATTGTTAGTCTAATTAAATATCCATAGAAGTATAAATCTGTTTTCAGTGTCTTCTGTATATATATTTACTAGAAGTCGTTGTACTTTCCATTAGTGAACATTTTGATTTTGGATATTGTTTCGTCTGGTATTGATTAACACTGAAATTCTACAGGCTCATTTTGTGTCGGGTGTGAGAACAAATACTCGCCAAAGACATTGGCTAGGGGTCGCGCTATGTCGTGAATTGGCAGAAGTTAGAATTCATGGGCCATTGGATCGGGTCCCAGTGGCTTAGTGGTATACGAACTCACCTTGTAACCAGAAGGTCCTGGGTTCGAATCCCGGTGGGTGCGTACTGCTGAAGAGTCCCAAACTAGGACGAAACAGCTGTCCAGTACTCCCAGGTTTTCTAATGGTTCTCTAACAATGTCAGCTCATAAGATCAAATCCCTACAAACCAACATGAATATGCCTTTATATTTCACTCACTGAAACTCATGTCCATCGTCAATTGCTTTAAACTTAAGAATATCGCCTACTTGATAACAAGTTTTTTGAGCTACATGCTAAGCACAAATTATTAGTTGCTATGATCAACTTTGCTAATTTTCTACTATTTCAATTTGAATGGTAGGTTTGTTTTAACATACATGCATCCTTGTATGATTCCCTAAATATTGTTAGATTTAAATTTTAGCTTTTACTACCTTTTATGGCTGTATTATAACTAATTACTGTTACCTGATTGAATGTATGAAACAGATATTCAGATCACCTTGGAATGCTCTATTTTCTTGACATTTCGAAACTGTTTCTTTTTTAAAACTAAATATTTCTATTTTCACTTAGATGAATTGGGTGATTTGTTGGAACGAATTAAAAGTGAGGTAAGCACTTTTCCTTTTTTTTCTCCTTGTGATTATTCTGCTAAAAATCGAAATCAGTACCAATGCATCAAAGTATTTGGGCAAAGACTTGAATATACTCAGTTGTTCGCTAATATATGATAGAATATACTATATTATATAACAATAATAAATCTTATATTACTTCAACAAAAAGGATTCATTGAAAACAATGTTTGTTAGTCAGACTACATTGTGAATGATTACAAATTTTCGTCAAATACACATTATGAAACCAAAGATTTGTACTATTTCGTACATCCCAAGGTTAGAATTATTTAACTATTAAGACCAACTTATTATGATTATTATTTCGAAGTGCCTAACATTTGACTGATATGATCAAATGGAACCAATTATTCTATCATTATTCTCTAACCAAATCTGAATGACCTAAACACTATACAGCCAATTAATACCACTGGAATTGACCTGATAAACGGTATGTCTGTATTTTGCCTTAGTGGACTCTTCATCAATAAAATAATTCTGCTAAGTGGGAAATGGAATCGGGTGGAATCTAAGTGTTATTTTTGCCTTCTATCTCAGGGGAAGGAGTCAAGACGACAAGCAAAGTATCCACGCTTTTGTGAATTATCTAACTTTAAAATTTTTGCACAGTAGGGTCCATCTTTTGGATTTCAACTAAGTATATCACTTTTTGTTAATCGTTTAAAGTGAAATAAAATATTAGCGATAGTTGCAAGTTGACAACAAACTAAACTAACAGCTTTTAAATTGTTCACACTTATGTTTATGGTCATTACTTATCACAACATATTTCTTTATTTCTTATAAAAGTATATTCTGAAATGGATTCAAGAAGTCCAACGTCTTCATCCTGAAGCTGTGTTTGCAGTGTTACTCCCTCATCCATTGAAATATGCTCGAGTTGGAAGTTGTTGGTAAGTGGTTATAAATGGATAACTTTATTTTGTTTGCTCCGATCTGTCACCCAAATGCATCTACAATAGTGACTTATAGGCCTAAAATTCCTGATAAATCATTAGTTGTTATAGTTGTACAAATAAACTTTTTCTTTATAAGTGTTAACTAGTCATAAACCTAGCTCAGATACAAATTTCTGCTGATGGCTTTAAACAAATAAATACCTAACATAATATACAGTAATGCTGAATAGACAAAATAGTAGATGAGAGTTTGTGTGTAACTGAACAATTTCTCGTTAGATTTGATTACAAATCGACAAGAGTTAAGGAACCATTGAAAACAAGAAAGCACCAGGCAGTTACTTTACCCTAATCTTGGGAACTCGATAAAGACAAGTAAAGGTCATTAGCGTTTTAGGTTATCATTCATTTATTCTATACAAAGCTTGTATATCTATGCTATTTCAGCATTAAGTTCTCTAGTAGTGATACTGCGCTTACATTCCTTAATACCATTTCCACTTTTATAGTGAGTATCTGTAAATTATTCAATAAATTATGGATAACAGTTTGAAAATTCCATGCGACATACTAAACTTCCAATATATTCGAGGTTAAAGAATATGTTGATATAATGATGATTTGATTTCCATAAGAACCTTTCTTACGTTAGGTTGAACTGAATGTTGGTCAGATAAACTCACAATCAAGTTTTCCAAATGATATCTTTAAATGACATTGTATACAATGATGTTAAACGAAATCTAGTGTTTTATCCGTAAAACTTGATTTAGTCAATATAAGAACTGGTAGACAACCGATCATCTCATATGAATTATCATAGGGAGACGAAGCCGCATTTATATTCAAGAAGGTTAAGTGTTAAGACAGTTACAAAATATTCATCAAATGAAAGTACTTCCAACCAACATTCATTGTGAGAACCTACATTTCCGTATGTAACAAGACACTAATCGTTTAGATAATACCTGGGTGTTGATCTACCCCCAGGTATGCAACCTTCAATAAGTAGATCAATATCATAAAGTGAGGTATACGATGAGCAGGCACTCATGGTTCTTAAAAATCCGAAGATTACAAGGCTAATACAGTGCGGGAGAAAGTTGGGACAAATGAATCATATTATGCCATAAGGAACACCTCTATTTCTTTATATATGATACTAGAACAAGAACGTTTAGAGCGAAGTGTCTACAGTGATTCCCTCTTCAAGCTCTGTGTTTATTACCTGACAAATAAAGGGGAATGACGACTGTAAAATATTTCCTAAGGTACCTAAGTATTGAAATGATAGATATTAATTTGAGGTTAAGAACAAATTAAGGGGATGTGAATTTTGAACGCATTTTAGTTAATAATATAATACCGATACTGAATTAAAATTAATGTGACTAGAACAGTCAGGAAATGATGAGACAAAAAATCTAAAGTCAGCGATTCAGTTGTGCACAGAAATAGGACTGTGCTGTTTTAATCTACAGCAAATGATTACTATGCGGTGACAACTGACATTCAAGTATAGTTTTCTTATAGGAACTTTGGTCCTTTCAAATTAGGATATATTCTTTAATTTTTCGAACAGGGATGCAATAAGTGATCACCTATCAAGAGTCAAACATGGACTGAGTCGTATCGGTAGTCTGATACCCTATGATATCATCACGTTTGAGGTAAGTTGGATAATAATTAAATATATAATTGTTTTCATTTTTGTGGCTTAAAAATTAATTAGAGTTATAAGTTATGTCATCAGCTTGTGTGTAGAAGTGTTTTCCAAATAAATAGCTCTCAGTTTTGACTGATGATCTCGGTTAGATTCTGTTTATAATAAGAAAGAAGATTGTTCATTTCACCTACATTTTTATGCAGGTTTCTCTTCATTGGTCCTTTTTTTCTGTACAAGATAACATTCAGAAAATATATTCTACCCTACACCTTTTCCAAAACATGTGAAACTAGTTGGATACGCCTCACTTAACTCATCAAAATGCTTAGCTTGACTGACAGAATTCAGTGAAGATTACCAATAGGGACTAGAAATATGACACTACTTACACCCTAGTGATCAACCAATGTATTGGTAACTCTGCGTATTGTTTTCAACCAGCTACTTTGCACGTTACTTGAAAATGGTTCTAGCTTCTAATTTAATAAGAAATGAGTTGCCGTATCAAAAAAGGAGATACAAGTGAGAAAGAAACAATCGTATCTGAAAGTGCGATTTTTGAGGTAAAATACTACAGATCCACTGAAAAACCTTCTAGTACAAAAATAGTTATAACTAATGCTTTTCACGCACATCATGACACTAGGGTTGAAATATGAACTGCCTAGGTTAGTAACACTCTTTTTAGTCTATTACTTTCATGACTAAGAAGACATTCTAGTTTAGCCAAATAAGAATACAAAATATACCAATCAGTTGGAGTAGATCCTAAATCTAATGCAAACCTGTTGTTACCCTGTCCCTATAAACCTGCCCAAAGCATGTACTTCAAATCGCATTTTAACCAAATAACCTCAATTATGTATTCAAAGAAACTTTAATCACTACTATTAGCTTCCAATACTTAAGGGACCGACAGATTCTTAAGTTGCTCATTACATTGCTATTATTATTCATCCCTTGGGTTCTGAGTGAAACATAGGATTTCAACAGCATATCTCCATTCCATTCTGTTCTCAGAGGCCTCTTTTGTACCTGGCTCCACGATCGCCCTCTAGCTTACATTTCCTCTTCTCATTATTTATTCCTTGTCCAACTCGTTGCTTCCCATTCCGCTTCCACTGAAGAGTATGGCCTGTGATGTCACCCAATGATCTCCTCATCGTATGTCCAGTTTATCTCCATTTCATAGTCCTGGAGGAGATTCGTTCTCATAGCATTGAACCTTCCCATACTGTTGGTAATATCATGATAGGCACTTCCTCAGTGTGCTAGTGGTTATCGTCTGGGTGAGCAGAAAAGATTACTGATTGTTCAATTAACGATCTTAAGAGTCTACTTCCGACTGATCTACTCTCACGGGCATCTATAACTTCTATACCTTATCATTTCTTTTGGGATCTCATAATCCTTGCCAGCCAACCTCAAACATCCCGCGGACATTCCATATTTCTGCGCCTTTCTTTTGACTCATCAAAAGAAGACACATCAATTGACTGGTTTCAATAGGCTCTCACTAACCAGCGTCATTAGTCAGCCCCTATTCCAGAGAAGAATAAATTGATTTTTTCTGAAGTTTCTATAGCAATTCGGTTAATTTTCTGGAGTAAGGCTGCTAGCCTCTAGCTCAATCTTTTATCTTTTTCAGGGCTTGAAACCTGCTAATACACTGAAAAGCCGGGAAACTAAGCAAGGTTGCCAAGTTTAATTAAAGTTTCTAATGAAATGTGACGCTTATGTGTTAGCACATAAAAAAAGAATTTATGATAATTTTCTGGCCTTATCACAAAAGTTTGTTATGGAATAAAACATATATTAGTCGTAACATAATTGCATATTTAGTGAGGCATGAGGAGAAAAGAACAGAGCATGTTCTTCTGTTACACAACAAGGTTATTAGTGACACGCTTGTCTTGAGTGCTTGAACTGATGCACTCGATTCTTTCGGATTACTATTTACGAGGAAGTACCTTGGAAATTGCAAAAAATCTTATTTGATTGTCTTATTGTGATTTTGAAATGAAACGTATTTATATAGATAAAATAAAATATACAGTACCCTATTTGAGCGTCATGCATACTTTTGAACCGTATATACATTTAATATTTAATATCCCTATTTCAGACGTGGGACTTTGTCATGCCGTATTGGTTAGAATCAATACGCACTGAAGTGTCTCGCATGGATTATCCGGAGTTGGAAATTCTTCTCAAGTGAGTGAATTTGAAAATTTCAAGACACTTATCACCAAAATTATGTCAAACCTTACTCAATATTTTTACTGAATACACTGACATCAGAAAACTGTACGCCCCAAGAAAAGAGAAATCAAGGCCACTATAAATGCATTATGCTATATACTACTGACCGACTGATATGAGTCTTTGGAAACCATTCACATCAACCAGTAGTGCTTGCTTACCAGATCGAAGCGACCTAAGCACAGGGAGACCGTTTCGTTTGTGTAGGGGAGAGTTAATCAGCGATGTTCTGAGTTTTGACTCAACACAGAGAGCTTAATCACTTCAGACCACCCTAATACTGGCTACCTACTTGGCTTAATTGGTAATACACTTGATCGAATTTGCAATCCGAAAATTAATCCGTGAATAACATAATTTGTGGTGAGATTTCACCATAGTTTCATTTGGAAATCGAAAGAAAGGAAACTATAATTAATCACAGTTTACCATAGTAACAACTTTCCCCACTTACTAACTAATTGTGTAATCGGTTTCCAACTATTATTACTACTGGTTTTTGTGAAATTTTCCCAAAGAACTGATCTTTCTCCAGGTATTCAACGCATTTCTTAATGCTCTCTTCCAAATAATTATATCATCTTCTTACTGTATCTTATTGGTTTACTAAAGTCTTATCGTCAGCACTTCAGAACGACTCGAATCTGCTTTCAAGCCTAATATAAATGAATAGTTCTTTTTGTACCAGCTATCGACTAATTCCTAAAGTGTAGCAATAAATCTAGGATCACTTACACTCTTGTAGTCTGTGCGTCGATGGCACAGCAATTAGGACCCTCGCCGACCATGCACATGGTCTGAGGTTCGATCCCCTACCGACGTACACCCGATATCAATGGTCAGCCTGCAAAATTGGGCTACCGATATCGCATGCTGAAAATTTGATACTTGTACCAAAAATACGGTGTAGAATCAAGCTATAATCAAAAAAATAGAAAAAATAGAAATAAGCATTGCAATTTCAGAGTTTAACTGCAGTATAAATTAAGTGAAATTATTCTATTTTTTCTCCAGCACGGATTTTATGCATACAAGTATTTAATATCACCACTGTTATCAAATTAATTGTTAAAATCTTTTTTTGAAATATCAATTATTTCTTTGCCTAATTTTATAATTAATTCAATCCACTATTTTATTCTTTTTTTAAAAATTTCAATAGAAAAATTTTTGATGCTACTGCTGGACCATTTCCTTTTCTTCCACAAAAAGTTTATCATTTTGCCAGTGAACGTTTCTTTAATACTCCAGTCAGCGTACAAGATCAAGCTTTAAGTTGGTTGGAGGTAATAATTTGGCACATATCATATGCTTATTCATTCAGATATATATTCAATAATTTTCTTTCATCGATATTGACCTTGTTATACAACCAAGCCTTTTGACTTATCTAAAACCTAATCTTTGTACAGGCGCAATACTTCCTTTGTGGTATTTTTTTTACCAGCATAAATGATGTGTACACATTTGTGTCAGCTGACACAGTGTCCACAGACAACAGAAGAATCTTCTAAATCTAATAATCAGTGTAGTAGACAAAGAGGTAGTCAAGCCACTGGTTGAACAATAAGCATAAATCTAATTTGAGAATTAAGATTAAATGAATATAATGCAAAGCATTCAGGTCTCATAATTACTTAAAATGAACATGGTCTCTAAAGGATTTATATAAGATTCTCAAATGATCCTGATTTAAGAAATGCATGTACCTGTTGACGTTTTGTTAAGCAGTTTGTGTTTTTCAGTTTGTTTTTGTCACAAAATATTCCGAAACACTGAAATATTCGGTAAAAATATCATACATAATGTTTTTTCTAATGCTACTAAAGCTCAGGAGTAAAAGACGACCACGTATTTCCAAGATCTGTATTATTGTGCGGATGAACAGATCTGGTGAGTGCTACAAACTATTGTAACTGCATGTAGACATTATAAAGTTAACTGTAAGGCACAAAAGTAACAAAATGATAAATCATCTGTACAACAGTTTAGAGTATTATTTAAACTGAACTTAGAAGGAACGGGTGTCAAAGCAGCAAAAGAAACCTCAATGATATATGAGAAATACATATAGAATTTCTGTTCTTTTTATTTTGGGAAGTGTATTGTTAAGTCCAAGAATACCAAAGATTAGTCATCTGCTATAACAGTTTACTGCCTACTGAACAAAAAAATGGAACTTTTCTCTCACTAATTGTATATTTGAGTAACTTTCAGGGAGAAAGTTCTTAGTAGATTATTTATTGTCCTTGAAATGACTTTTCAAGTTTAATCATCCTTCATAAAATAGTTTTCTTTTACTCTTTTTGATATAACTAGGCAATTTTTTATAAATCATACCTAAAGAAATGCACTTATTGTTTAAATCTATATGCGTTACGAAGTTCCCCAGTGTTGCGTAGATCTGATAATAAGAATGAACAGTTAATGGTTTAGATCTCGATATCTACAGCGACTGATTCAGCTGTTAAGTGGCTCACATTTACTGGCATTTTTCATGAAAAAGTAACAAATTATTCTATGGCACAGATATTTAAATATGTTCAACTGTGTTCCTTTTCTTAGATCTTAACAATTGTAGAAGTTCCAATCCCTATGAAAGAACTTCTCACAATGTTTGCAGCTGGTGTAGCCTCTTTGTTCTTGGAATTATTATTACCTTCTAGTGAAGAATATGATGATGAAGATGTTAATGATAATGTTGACTACACAGATTCAGAAGCAGAGGATGATTCACTAGGACAGAATACAGTTAGTGAAGCTGACTGGTTAAATGAGCATGGAATTTTATCCGAGAAAACAATGCATGATGAAGATGATGATATTGGTGGTGAGGATCATTTACACGATGGAAATGAAAGTGATGTCTTCTCAGAAGAATGTAGTCATTCAAGAGGTGATGAATACTATGAATATTTGGATAGACATCCTGTATCCACTGGGAATCAATTTTTAGTTGATGAAAATGATTATACAGAGGGTGATGAAGATCCAACATTAGATGAAACTAAAAGTTTATTATCAAGTAGTATGGAAGATAAAAACACCTCTAAGCCATTTACATCGATCAATCTACGTAAAACAAGTAAACAGAGTCGTTCAAAACGTATTCCACCGACAGAGTCCAGCAGTCGGCCTACCACTTCATTGTCAGTAACTCATGAAGATAATTCTGACAAGTGTGACCAATCAACAGACAGTAAAGCTGATGACAGTGCACAGAATAAATTAAATCAACGTAAGCTCACCGTAGAAAAAGAAGTAAAACAGTCAAATGAGTCTGAGACACCAATTATCCACGATTTACCAAGTCAACAAACAAAGAAACAAGTTTCAAATTCTCCGTATAGAATGACTGCTTGTTTAACGCATATGTTAAACATTGCTTATCGACAGGTAATCTTAGTTTTTTTATGTCATTAATTAATATGATTTTGAGATTTCATGCCTCTAGTGCTCAAATGAAGTTGAGAAAAGCTGTTAGAACATCTTACTCCCATTCAAGAGAAATTATAATGTAGTACAAGCTATATTCTTACGTAGTTTGATTCTGGTTCATATTGGTTTGTTTTCAAATGAAGTTTCGCTTACATTGTATCCCTATTATTAATGAATGTCCAATGAATAATTTGTTTTCGAAATTATTCTGTGAAAAATTATTGAAAAAAGTCAACTGTAAGATCATGAATGACAACCTTATCAATACATGATCTACCGCTAACATTTCTCATGTGTGAATATACAGTGAAAAGATAATATTAGGAAATATTTGTGTTCTCTTCAAATAAATAGTCTTACTTACTCGAGACTTTAGTCCTGAACAATTAATGACTCATGTAATGATTATAGCAAAGCAGGCGATACTACGTAAACAGTAGTAATCAAATGCTTGAAATATTTGGATGCCTTTTAATTCTAATAGCCATGTCTTTCAACCAAACAGTTAGAATAAACCACTATTACAACGTTCACAGAACCGTAATTGGGCGGTCAGTGTCATACCTAGTCCATAAGCAGTGCTGTCAGATAAAAGCTAAGTAAGCCTCCACAATTTCTTCACTCACTGACCCGCTACTATTGATATCAACTCTTAGATTTGTTAGGTGGTTAACGCAGCTGGCCAGATTAATTTGTATAACCAAAAAGGGTATTCATACACATCACTCCTTAAGTATCATTCTGGGATGGGTTGAAAAATGCGTAACAAACACTTCAAAATTCTTAATTAAAATACTTTGAAAGAATTAAATATCTTATCACTATCTACATCCAACGTGATTACCTCATCTATATGCTCTAAATCATCTATCAAATCTTCTGAGAGGCGATTCATCCATGCAAAGTCAGATGCTCAGTGAGAGACTTCCATACATTCGAATAAAAAAGGAAGATGATATGTTTGACCTATGCCATTCAATGAAAAAATGACACATGTTTTATTAACACTTGTTGTTTGTTTTAAATTCGTTTCGAGAAATAAATATGTCCAACTATTCTATGAAGATATATAAATTGACTTATCATATCCCAGCAACAGGCTTTTGTGTGTCCGTTTCAGTGGGAAAACGTTTTTATAATGTCTCTTTATCGGCAGATGAAAATGGCACTTTCGGCTTAAGAAATTCAATTGATATTGAGCACTGTAGGTCTGATTGCGTTTTATAACCTGATGGAGTTGGTTACTTCCTGTGTGCAGTTGAGCGTCTTATAATTACGAATAATAAGATTTTATTTTGATGACCTTAATACTTTTGTGATTATCACATGAGGACAATTAAGGATTGGAACCGATCAGATAGAATGATGCCTGTTTCACACTGAAATCTTAGTCAGTTTGGCTAATAATTAATAAACTGCTCAAGTCTTGCTATCCTCTCGCATTTACCGCTAAATATACACATTAAATTCTGGAAGCATCAAGAATTATGTCATTCTACCATTCATGCTGAGATTGAATGATGAGCGAGTGAAGAGTAGTCAGAAATGAGGGGAACTATTTCTTAAACGGTTCAGGTCATCTTTAAAATCCTCTTCTTTATGATTGAATCACTCGGTGATTCTTCTTGGTTATGAGCTTGCTAACACCTAGTTTTATATGGCTGCTATCTCTGATTAATCTTAGCAGTTCCTTTTCGGCTGTCTAGATTTCACCGATCAAGATCACTGAGTGGACTCTCTATGTGTCTGCAGACTTCTTCATGATCAGTTAATCGGATGTGTGAATATTACTAGTGAGTAATAGGTATGAAATCAAAACAAGTGATTCAGCTGGAGTAATAAGTGCCTACAATATTCCTGAATTACTAAGACCCACAAATAGAAAGGCAGTCTTATAGAGAGTAGCTTAACTTCATAGGTTAAACCGTTAGTACATGACATAAATCTTATCACATAAATCAAGTAAAATGGATAGTCAGTTCATTAAAAGTTAAAAAGAACAAAATAAAACAACGTATCAGTTGTAGTCGCTTTTGTAAACACTACATTTTTAACACTTAGACTCTCATCATCTGGGCTAATACAGAAATAAACATACTTGTAACATTTCGATAACTTACCCTGACTTACAAATTGTTTATTTCTTATCGAGTTTAGATCTTCACCTACTGATGACTATTCGATGTCATTTTAGGCGGCTTTTCAGTGTCACTTTAGAAACCCATAACCATAGGGTAATCAAACAACTTTATAACCAAAGATAATCCGCGAAAACTGCATGTTAAAATATCTTCCAAATGTCTTCACTTTGTTTAATCGACATAGATTGTGCATAAAGTCGAAATGTCATATGTTAGTATTAATTAAATCAGCTTAAAACTATATTAAAATAATCTATGTAATTATTTTTCTGGAGTTATCGTATTCAATTGTGATATTTATTTATTTATTGAATTCAATAGTTAAAAATCTTGGATCCAATAGGACATTCTGGATATACACAAGAAACACCCAATTTATTATTATGGCTACTTGGTGACATGTTAGAATTATATTGGGGTAATGTCGCCGAGACAGCAGATCAAACAACAAGTCCTGGTTTAAGAAATCTATATTGTATTGGATTGGAAACATGTATTCTCCCTAAATATAATAACAAATTAACAAATGATGCAAAGCTGCCCGTCACATCAGTACCACTGTCTGGTAATAATAATAATAATGCTGGTGATAATAATAATTTACCTGGTGTAAACAAGGAAACGGATGAGGTGCCCAGTGAATGCATTGATTGTTTAGATATGTTGACATGGTTTAATTATGCTAGATTAATATGTCAACACTTAGCACCAATTAGACCAACACCTAAAGTTACAGTCGATTTCACACTTGACTCATTGGCAAATGCTACAAACTTTCCAGGTAAGTTGTTATACACTTATATCTTTTTGACTTAAAATTTCTTTGGGTACAGAAGTTTACAGTTGCTACGTTGAAATTTAATGCCATTGTAAAATGTTCGTGTTTTACAGTCCAATGGTGAATTTCTAATCTTAATTGATTAAAGATGCCCATGAGAAATTTCAAAAGATCCCAAGCTTACAATAGTGCTGAATTAAATCTCAGTAATTGTGAAATAATTCTAGCATCCTATAGTGAGTAAATTCGGAATCTGTTCTGGAATGGTTTGTTTAATGGCACAGACTAGAACTCAGTGCTGGTTTTCAGCATGACTAGAACTAATTCAGCACCGTGTTCTTTTTCTAGGCATTTTTAGGAGTAGATCAGAACATACTGGATTTGCTTATCAGCGTTGTTCCAGCCCTTACAGGCCATATTAAGCACTGGCTAGCATTACTTCAGAACGAAAAGACTTAATTCAGCACATAGTGGCAATTTTTTCAGCTTAATTCTAGCCCTCTCAGCACATATTCAGCACTGACTAGCATTACTTCAGAACGAAAAGACTGCTACTTATTATCATCACCTGTGTCCTTCGCCGGCGCAATTCATTTAGTTTACAGAAAGAAATCAGTTTTTATAATTGAGAGAATTTTGTATTTAATAAACTGTAGTACATTGTCACTGCAAATCCGTCAAGTCAGATCCACTGGTAGCATCCTGTAAATAAGCAAAATAAAAGATTAGTTGATGAAAAATAGTGCTCAGCACATTCTAAGCATTTACATTTAGAAAGGTTTACTTACATAACTGCCACTGTTATATCCCCTGGTATCTTTTTCATTTGCCTAAAAATGAAAACAATGTTGTCATTACTTTATGTTCAATAAACGTTGACTTATAAAAGTAAGCAGGCGTTTCGCAATATTACCTGAATTCCTTTCTTCAGCTTACGCCTTTGGACACGATCTTTCAAATTATGAAAGTACGATTTCGTGGCCTTATCCATTATGTCACCAACCTCTCTCGACGTCATTAGTTGGCCGGAGAATTGCACCATAATTACATCTACAGAACTAAGTACTTCATTAATGAACCTTACATCTCATTATTTTATAAAAGGCATAAGGCACAATACTGGACTTTGTCAAAGTCCCCTGAAATGTAAACTTCAAAGCCACTTCAGGTTTTAGAACATGGTGCATCATGACCTTAAGTGATAACTTTGGATCACTCTGAAGGCAGCTAACCATCTTAGCAGTCTACAAGAAATAAGAATTAAATATGTCAACTCACATATCGCTGTTTGTACTTTTCGTCTCTTAAAGATGCTTCCAGCATCTCTAAGTGGTCTTCATTCTCGATCGGAAACTCCAGTGTGAAGTTGTCGTTTGCTGGAAGGTTGGTTTGTAGTCGAGATTTGTGGTTAATTGTAATAATGTTCAGCATTTTTGTAGACAAATTGATAAGTTCCATTACAGCATCTTTAAATGAATAGTTATTTTTAAGTAATTACCGAGTATTTTCTGAATTTTGGAATCAGTGGAATCTTCGTTAAACGGCAGTCTAAAGCACGAATAAAAATTGTAACAATTATTCCTACCGATCAGACACTGTTGTGTTTTTGCCAATAGGAGATGAAGAATGGAATATGGGAGCACTCGAAGTACTGAAAATGAAGGGCTCTCAATTAGGTAAATACCTTGGAATTGGGGCTACGAAGTCATCAAATATATTGTAATCTGGATATTGTGGTTTGATGCAACCAACTTCACTGGCGGCTACATCGATATCCATAGAGTTGTAAAGGAAATTCTTCTCAAATTCCTTGGCATCCCTGAGAAATACGTTAGACAGAAAACGGTACCTACCTTTTTGGTCTCTTACTAGGCATTGGCAACGTATCATCGTCCATGTCTGCCTTCTTGGAGCCTTGATCATTGCTTCTCAAAAGCTCGACACCCTTTTCACAATTCTCATACGTATCTAGAAGGGTGATAATGAAATATGCCAACTTACCACACATGCCACTATCTTTTAGCAAGCCTTGTATGGTTGTTGGTACATGTGGACTAAATTTACGCATACAGTTCAAGATATCTTGCGCAACAGCCCCTGTTACATTGTTCCTAAGGAACAATTCCATAATTGACTTTCTGACCAGCTCTTTTTGTGTCATCTTTTCAGGAACAACCTGAAGTTCTATTAAAACTAATTATTACATAATAATAAATGTTACGGTTCTCTTCAATTTGTGAAACAACAGCGACGGTCTCACTAGTACTAGGTATACCCACTGTTCCCTGTACAGTTGAACCTGAAGGCAAAGTTACTGTTTTATCCCTTGCCACCTCTTCTCTAGATGAGCAGTAACGTTTCCAGAAGTCCCAGTCACTAAATGCTGCATCACGTAACCGTTTTTGACGGCGGTAAAATGTGGAGTAGCTGTATCCAAGGCATTCATGCAGTCTGCCAGAAGATATTCTTCTCTTACGACTTGTTGCAGAATGTTGAATACCCGTGTGGTGAGAGCTGTCTACTAGCCAAGTGGTGGACAGTAATTGAGGTCAATGTTTATGTATCAAATATTAGTCATGTTGTGGTGAGAGATGGTTGCTGGCCAAATTGGTTGACAGTAATTGAGGTCAAAGGTCAAGGTGGACAGGCGGATACAGTTAACATATAGATGAACTGACACAGCCACAAGAGATGCAAGGTTAACTTTGTGTGAGAAACAACCAATCAACAGACTGTATTTTCTACTAACATTGACCTACAATAATGTACATAAAAATCTATAAATACGTGTTGATTTTTCGTAATAAACGATCTGTTGCCTGGCCCTTGTCTTCTGTTGTTACACCCGAATCTAATACATTATCTGAGTTGTTTTCCTTATAATAGAAATGGACAAATATACACCCAAAATATAACTCACCTGCATGATTTATAAATCCTGTAAAAATTGTCTCTTTGTGTAAGGAGTACTGCTTATATACTTCTAGGCAAACATCCGTTTTCTTAATATGAAAAAGGATGACAGATGAACTATAATCAAACTTATAAATTATATTATAAAATATAATTTTATAAATGTCTACTTCTCACTCAGCGCTCAATTATTTTGCAACTATCCGGTCAAATCTTGATCACAGTTCATATAAATTATAACCACAACTGTTAACATTTTCCTTACAGCAAGTATATGTTTTCGTCTGTGAATCAACACAATCACCCCCACCTTGTTTCGTTTGGATTCCCAAGGTTTTAATATATGACCTCGTAAACAGTGCTCAACAATCGAAAAAATTTACACTTCACTTATGACTTATCTAAGGGATTTCAGTTTTCATTCCCACTTTGTTTCGTTTGGAATTTTTGTGTTTCATATTGCGTTATATTTCATTCATGATAAGTATATGTTTTCATTTGTTGTAGTTAACCCATTTTTTTGTTCTAATGTTTTTGCACTTTTAAACCGTGGGCCTGTCATAAGTGAACCGTTATCATTTATTCTTACACATAAATCATGACAAATGTATTCGCTCGACTGTTTAAAGTGCATTAAACATGGCCCAATGTGTTCTCTCAAAATTGTTTCGGTTTTCCATTTTTGACCTCCGTTTCATTGAGCTGTTTTCAAATTTCGAAACGATGCATCAAAAAATTTTTTCCCATAGCTGGTAGAATACACATTAGACACAACCTACCTTGCTTATAATTTTTTTTCACTGTTGACCTCGTCTCAACTGAACTGTAATCAAATTCAGGGATTTTGTCGCATTAATTCAGCACCCAGCTCTCTTTTTAAGCACGACCAGCGTTATTTAAGAACATAGTGGGTAGATAAAATATTCATTTACCATAAAAAGGCATTATCAACGCATAGGTCAGAATAAGCTTAGATATGCTGTCAGCAATCAATATTGATTGCTGAACAAAGAATATTCTCTTCGATAACTTCAAAATCAGGTTCTACAATTATGTATCCATTATAATGAAAGAATAATTATTGTTGATAACACTAATGTTTTCTTCAAGGTTACATTGAATCATTGACATCAGAATTCCTAAAGTTATTTGCAAATAGATTGTTAATAGATTATGGTCTAAAATATATGGATGTAGCAACATGTATAGCTGTAACACTAAATTGAACAGCAATATTACAAAGTAAATGATTACGAACAACAATGAATATATAGCAATAAATTCTCATGAGTCATGTTCATATTGGATTCTATTCATATTGATGATAAACTTCAAATACATGAATGATCATGTCAAGGACGGGGGGGGGAAGAAAAAATTTGGGGTAGAAGGTAATGTGCGTTGTATGTGTGTCACCATGTAAGTTAACTATTACGTTTAAATAAGAAAACAAAATGTTAATTGATGCAAGTGTAATAACGAGTGATAGGGGAATTTATATGCACATGTAAAGAAAGCCCAAAGTAATAAGGTATTTATGAATTTGCGGACTCCACAGCACGCCAGAGTAGTAACAGTGGTTGGACCTGTTTCTTCTGCCCACAAAGCACCGGTTGTTTCACGCGAATCTCAATAGCCTCTGCTGTTTCGAGCCTTCAGTACCTAGGTGCTTTTGGCAATTATTTGGTACCCGATAGATGATGGAGAAGGATTCTTCAGTGCTAGCTATGTGGCAGGTTTGGACCAGGTGGTCTAATATCGAACTGTTGGTGTTTTTCACTACATCTTTATTCAGCCAAACTTGTAGGTGTTCCCGAGCATGAAGAATGAAGTTCCTAGAGCAACAGTCAATATAACTCGCTCTACCTCAAGCGTAGTTGAATTGGTAGATACAGTTAGAGGTGGCTAGTCTAGGTACTTCATCTTTCAATTGAGGAATCACAACCGGTCGTGTAGAAAATATGACTTGTAGTATACCAGCATTAGAAGTTCTTTGAATAGATTTTCTTAACTTGTTAGTAATTACTTTACTCTGTACGTTATGGATGCCTGTGTCATTATGAATATATAACTGTAGAACCTGATGAATAAGTTATCGAAAAGAATATTCTTTGTCCAACACTCAGAGTCTTTCATTGAAGATAGTAAAACAAACAACATCTAATTGTCACTTTTTATCTTTTGCAGTGTTCCTCTTTTACGAAATAAAAGTTATCGAAAAGAATATTCTTTTTCCAGTAATTTCTAATTTCTTTGTCACTCTGAAAAGAATTAGCGTCGGATTACGTGATATAAACACCGTCCTAATGTATCTTAACCCTTAGATTCCAGCTGATTAGTTATTTGAATCTTTGAAATTAGTAAAAGCTGTGAAATGTTATAAAGTTTATTGTTACTTTGGGTTTTGACTGATGGTGAAATATAAGATAAATCGCCTCCAGTTTGCAGCAAGTATTCATCGGGTCACTAATCTAGAACTAATAGGTAACTGTTTCTAAAGCACGAGTAATGCCAATGAAAGTATTTACCGTCCGTAAACTGATATTTTGGTGTCATTTTTGAACCATATTGTTCCCATGTACATTTTCAAGCTTTTCTTCACTTGACTTTTACAGTGACAACTTTGCTGCATTAAAAATGGTTTAAGCACACGATAGTTTTGTTATATAAAGGACTGATTATTAATTTGAAGAAAAAAATTTCAGCCTAAATTCATAATGATTACATTTTTCGTCATACTTTGCATTTTATAACTATAGAACTTCATAACTATAACATACACCTACTTTTCTAATAATTTTAGAATACACTGAATGGGGTGATTTCAATAGTACTGGAGTATTAGAAAACAAAACCTCATCTGTTACACTAGATAATACCCAAAAGTGTCCCGCATTACCTTCTTCTGAAGACTTGTGTTCAGTTCCACCAGTATTGCGCCTTGTTTACTTATTAACACGATTTCTTAAAGATGGTACACGTCGCTGTACTGATCATGAAGATATAATTGCAGAATCAGATCATTTTTTCCAAAGTACACGATCAACTTCACTAAAGCCACCATCAGCAACAGTATTAGATGAACAATCAATTGCATCATCATCACTATCATCTGCATCCATTGATCAGGCAAATGTTGAACTAAAAGTCTTCCGTGATCCTGTTGTACTACAGTGTATTTTAGAATGCTTAGCTTATCTATGTCATATAGGTGATGCATTAAGACAAGTGATAATGAAAGCAGAAAGGGAAGAACAAAAACTGTCTACTGCCAGTTCGAGTAGTTCAACATCTGCAACATCTACCAATCCAACCTCAACTGTGACAACGGGAGCAATAAATACTGGTGGTATGTTGAATACTGGAGGTTCCACTGCTCTAGGAGCACAGACAGCACTTGGCATTAGCAGCTTAGTAGGATTAGCTGGGAATAAACATCCTGGTCAATCAATTAGTCAGGATTTATTGATCAAAGGACAGTCAATACAGGCTACGAAAACTCTAACTTCCCGGAACTGTACTGCAACACCGAAAGCTCAAAAGAATTTTGTCTATTACTTAATTCACTCTCACTTAATTCCAAGGTACGTAGTGTGGCTAACTTTCATATACTCCTAGTTTATTTATTGGTGTAATGTAACAGAAAGACATATTCTTAGGAAAAACTTCAAATCTATTTATCTCTTTACATAGATGCTTATATCAATGTTGATTTGCGTATTTTCAAGCGTCGGTTTGTATGCTATACGCATACTGTTATTAAGAGAAAGAACATGAATGGATGTTGAAAACAGCAACACATAGAATCAAAAATATTCCAAAGTATGATACAACAGACAACATCTGCAAATCTTATTTTAGACGAAATCGTAAGAGTTGAAGGGGAAATTTTCCGACTGGCAGTCAAAGCTCTTAGTTATGTGTCAAGTAGGATGTTAGATAGGTATGAAATCACTTGTTAACCAATGAAATTTTTTCAAGTATTGTTTTGCAGGGATTATTTCAGTTTCAAGGTATATTTCGCTACGATGTACCACCTATTTGAGAACTATTTGAAACCAGACACCAATAGACAGCTATTCCAACTTATTCTGGGACTCCTCAGTAGTATGTACCCCTCATCGGACTAGTGATCGGAAGTAGGAATTTCAGATCACGAGGTAGGGACGTTGCCATTCAGTTGGTGGCTCAAAATCCACTCCTCATTAGTAACTGACTACAAGTTGGACATCCAGGAATTCGAATAAGAAGTAGTGACCTGTAGGATTCACCAAGTTGGATGCGGGGATAGGTGCCTACTTATCACACCGGATGGTAGTGGTTATTCAGTGCAAATTGACAGAAATGATGAAATGTATCGTTTTATTATTTATCCGTAATGTGTTACAGTTGATAGACTTATACTCTCAATGTAAACTCCAATACAGTCGCACATGACTGTTAGACTCAATGTAAAAGAGATATTATAGTTATTTTCATACTAAATCAGCTTTTTGTCCATTGAACACAATCATTAACTTTAAGATGGCATTCATCTTGAGGCTTCAGTTTTATTGGTAGGAATTAGAGCATTTGAAATTATATGAATACCAATTCCTTCGTTTTCTGTTAAATTTATGCTTTTATTCAAAATATATCTATTCTCTCTTCTGTTGTTTTTCATTCTTATAACAGTTTATGGAGTCTACTGAAATCAGAGCTATCACACTTAGCCAGTTGGACAGTACCGTTAATTTTACACTGTCTTTCATTTCCTGGAGGATTTAATATACTTTGGAAGTTGATTGAACGTGATTTCTCTCATCATGACTGGAGGATTCGTTTCGATGCAATAGAAAAAGTATCTGTACTTCTAAGAGAATTAGATTATTATATATTAGCCGGTGGTTTTAGTGGTTCAGCTGGAAATAAACTAACTCATTTATTATCAGGTGGAAGTATGGCAAGTTCAGGTGCAGTGAATCTGTTTTGTAGACTAACAGGTGTAACACATATTGGACGTACAAAATTTAATGCTGGTCGTAAAAATGTACCTAGTGGTCATTTAGTAAGACAACATGGGGGAACTAATACAGAACCTACCAGCAAAATGAATACGAACACCAATAATAATCGTAATCCTTTAATTCAGAGCGCAATAGCACATGCATTCTGTTGTTTAATTGGTTCATTGGACGACCCTAATTCAATGATTGCTCAATACACTGCGATACAATTAGCTTCACTGCACAGTATCTCCTTAGCTGTAAGTAAATATAATTGCGTAAAAGTTAGTAATGGGAATGTTAGAATTCATTTTTGTTTTTTCAGTTAAACAAATGAGTACTGTAATGATGAGTACTTTTCCGGTTTATATAAAGATAAATTTATAACTCCTGATTTAATGACTCTTAATATGTATGTGTAAAACTCTGACATTGTGGTAGTCTGTAATTCTATATTAATTTGTTTTTAGGATATGTCACGCAATAAAACCTTATTATTTACTGGATGGTATTTTGAACAGAATTTATCGTTTATAATCCTGTCAGTAAATTATACCGTTTCCCTGTGTGATATATCCAATAAACAAATCACTATGGATCTACAGTTAATAATAGCTCATAAGGTTAAGTAACAACCCACGAAGAAGTATTTCGTAAGTCTGAAACCAGCTCATTGAGCCGATTATGAACAGCAAATTGTATTGAAATTGAAACGTCATCCAGTAAATAATGCCGTTTCACTGTGATTAAATTACTGCTTTATTTGGATCATCCGACTACCACTGTCATGTCTCTTGACGTAAATATATTTGTATGCATCGCTTAAGCAGCCGGCGAAATATACTTTTTGTTGTCTGTTTTAAATGAGTGCAATAGATAAAACTCTAATCGTTAATTAATTCTCTTTGATTTTTGCTTTATTATAAGTACTAACTTAAATAATATTGAAAGCTTAGTGTTTACAAGAGATATTCAAATCATTTATCAATTCGTAGCATTAGTTACGTGGATAAGGGGATAGTATTCATAGGTTGTAAAAACACTAGTTATTGGTCATAATTATGGTTTTGAATGTTCACCCACAACAACTAAATAATAAAATATTGTGAATATCAACTTGGCTCTGTAATGAAGTAGATAATTTGGTGCGTCGGTGGCACAGTGGTTAGGACTCTCGCCGACCATGCACATGGTCCGGGGTCCGATCCCCTGCCGGCGCACACCCGATATCTATGGTCGACCTGAAATTTGGGCTACCGATATCCATGCTGAAAATTCCATACTTGTACTGAAAATACGGTGTGAAATCAAGCTGTAATCAAAATTTTAAAAAATAAAAAATATTCAGTTTCTTTTCAGTTTAAACTTGAAAGAATATTGTTTGGTTAGGGAGTGCATATCTCAAATATTTTTAGTGGTGTAATGCGGTTTAGCATTATAGCTAGTTCACAGCATTAAGTGTAACAAGTGAATTAAGCTTACTTTTCATTTTACCAGTTAATTTTATTCAAACTTATGGATTATTTATTTTCAGAAATAAAGCGTAACATTTCAGTTTTAGCAATCATTGATACTACTCTTAACATTCATCGCTGCTTAAGAACAAAGATATCCTTCATTGGGCTTCAATAAAACATTGGTTACTTACTAAATATTTACCTGTAACTCTAAAATATCCTACACGGACGTCTGCAGAAATGTTAGCTCCATTGATAGTATCGATGCGCTCTTCCAACGAATTTTAATGGTATTGAGATGAGTATCAATGTCGCTTTCTATTTCATTTAATCATCTGGTTTCAAACAAAATAGGATTATCTTGTGATCGGTATAATCTCCATTGCTTGCATAACTACTGATGTTGTAGATGGTAAAGAGGATAATCACACAAGAAGCTGTGAAGAATTCCTCTAAATTAATTATTAACCAACCTGATTGTCGGCTTGTTTCCATTATTAACTTATGTTTCAACTGATCACACATATATATCATCCATTATTGTTATATATTTGACATTACAAGATTTTCTTCTGGGATCTATTGCTTAATTAAATTCATTTTTGAAGTTTGTAAACAAAACTCAATTTCTGCTTACCGTTTTTATTGATACAGTTTTATGTATTCGTTCAATTTTTGTTTTTAGTGCGCCATACAGTGTTTAGAATTTCAATTTGACACTGTTATCGCTGATCGTTGTCTTATATTGCAACGTATGCATCAATTGAGTTGTAGTCTACCAAATAAGCAAATATTTACCTGGGATTTCTTTGTTAATCGTTTTGGTCTATTAGCTATACAAGCACAGTTGGGGAATACACCGAATCAAGTTGATATTGATTCAGGTAAGACAAGAAATTCCAGTTTCCACTATTAACACTTACTGTTTTTTTTCAATCCTTTGCGTCCTGAGGGAAACAGAGAGCTTCAAGCTTTGAAGTTTTATTGACGATGGTGGGTGTTTCATTTTTACGGGATTAAGTCACAAGAGTCACACCCAACCGTTCAACAGTAAACTTAGTGAGATTTGAGAGTGCTGGGAGTCGAACCCGGACTACTTGCGTATCGCCAACGCACACATACAGTTAGCCCTTTCTCTCTCTTTGAATCTTAAGGTAGCAAAAATTTTGTTGGTTTTAAGAAGATTTCCTTTCAATGAGGAAATTAACTGGAAGTTCACTGGAGAATAGGTAGAACTGGATAACTCGATTCCTGTCGAAATCTTGAGTGCAGAATACTGGAGATACCTAAAATAGGACAAAATCACCATCTACAACTCCGTGGTTTTCAATAATTATCTATCTCATATCACTTTCTTGTTGATTCTATTTAGACGCTTCATTTTCGCTACTCAGTCTGTAAATACTAAGTACAGAAACAACTTGCAATAATGATCACAATACATGTTAGTAAAAGTTTGGTATGGATGTTTGATATAATCTAGTAAAATGTAGTGAAATGTACCAGCTAGGACGAAATACCACGGATATGAAAAATTTTTATGCAAAGTCCATGCAAGTAAATAAATTCTACTAGTATCACTATAAAATCTTGAGTTCTTGTTTTCTTTACGAAAAAAACTGCGTTCAACGGTATTCATTTTGATAAAATGGATTGATATATACCGATTCTCTGTGCACCGTTAATGACTCATGATTATTTTTTCATCATACTGACACTGCGGCATATTAAGATGTGAAACAGATCGGGCACCACCTGGCTTATAAAATCTCTGTCATGAAGATCCTTGCCAGTTCAAACATTTTATCTTTACTTATTACCGCCTGATCTGCTAGAGTTTTCATAAGAAAACTAATTCACTTTACCTTCAATTTTCAGTGACTGATTTAAATGGATCACATCGTACTGGTGAACATTTTCAAAATCAATTTGAACGTGCTGCATTTGCAATCAATAAAAGTACCGGTCTTAAATCAATAAGTTTAAATTCTCGTGCCTACTCCCTACGATTCAGTGCACATACAGTTGGTTGTTTCACTCAAGCACAACAATCACAAACACAATCAAATATGCATCAACAATTACTTTTGTCAAATTCAACCTCATCTACACAATTACAAACGGAAGGAAAAGATGAAAGTCATAAACGAAAACAATCTGTAAGCCAACCTGGATCAGGTGAGCAAAGAAGGCATGACTATGTTTGTTTATATTTTTGCTAGTTTATTTTTGATAAACTAAAAAGTAGCTGTAAGTATAATATTCAACACTTGGATATTTGTTACCCTGTTCCAGTTGGCGCACAGCACAATAAGAGTATAATTTTATTTGATAAAACAGATAGCAGTGCAGTATTATTTACTGTGTTTTATCAAATAAGATCATTCCATTATAGAATTCTCAAATAGACATCCTTATTTCATAATTGGGTCGGTTATTTTTTCCTGATTTCATAAAGTTGTCTCTGTGTCATGTGAGTTTAGGTGCAATACATGTTACTCTGAAGAATCATGAAAGTATTCAGTGTAGAACACTTTGTTTTTATTGAGCACACATTCACTGACTGGATCACCAGAAAAAAATTGGCGTCAATACAACTTTGAAGTCTTTTATTGACTGAATTAGTACTTGTCCATTGGTTTGTCCTATTAGTTTCTTCTTAACTGGATGCGTCTATACATACGGAAGGTTTATGAAAAACTTTTCAGTATCCCGTCAATAAGGTTGACAGATGATCAACCTTGAATTTTTGCTTGTGTCATTTCCTATCTGTGTGGAAGCTGTATCGATAAATAAATAATAATTGCCTCGAACTTGCGTGTATTTAAACCTAAATAGACAGATGCAAACATTGAAATACGATTTTACATCCAAATAAAATTGTTTACTTTTTCAATCTATTCATTCAGATTCTATTGCACCAGAAGGAATACAAAAATCACAGTTTAAATTCGGTCATGGTGCAAGGCGATCACGACCATCGATTTCTTCTGTATGTGGATTATTGACAGGTAATAATCTATATTTTGGTTATGATGAAATAAATTTATCGTTAATTTACGAAGCAGCATTTGTACATTTTCACATGATTAGAGTATTTATTTCATTTCTGTTAATTCCAGTTATTCGGTTATGTAAAATGAAGGAAAAGTATCTCATAGTTTGGTAAATGTACATTTGATGTATATCAGATAAACACTACACTGGACTATGTAGTAGCTGCTTAAATACTTCACTGTCGTTGCTGCCGAAGGCGTTTCCAAAGTCTATAAAGTTGAGGTATAGAGGTGACTGCAACTGAATAAAGTCTGATTTAGGCCAATTATTCCATTTGGGACATCTTATAGTCTCTCTAAAATGATGCCGCTTAATATGTTGCTTAGAGTGGATAGAGCCATGATTTAGCAGCAGTTCTTGAGTTGCCATGCTTTGAAGTTTGACAAGTTGGTCGTTCTGCTAATCACACCAGGCACCTCTCCTTCCTTCCAAGCCATTATCAATAGTACAGTGAGCATGTTTGCTGAGGGCTTTGGGTCCCTTTACAGAGGTTTTAGGAGAATTCCACCTCGTTTTGCTGCTTTCCTCCCTTTCAGTAACTTCATGACCTTCAGAACTTCTGATTTTGTCAGGAGGTTGATACTCATTGGAATTTCTGTGTCTGCTGATGGCATTTCTGAATGAGTTGTATGTGGTGGCCTATTCAAGAGTCCTTATTCGCTTCACTTCTTTGGAAGTCGGTGTTCCTTCACTATCTTTCATCTGCATTATTCTCTTCCCGAAATGTTACCTAGTGTGTTATAAAACTCTGCTTTGTCTTGCCCAGCATTCTTCTTTACTACTTTATTCAATGCCTTGTAGGTTATACTCAGTTTCTTCTTTCGTTGTCCATCCTCGCACTAACTCATCTTCTGCTTCACCATCTTTCTCCTATCAAATTACACGTTTCCACAGGGAGCCATTCCTTGTCTTGCCTCTTCTTTCTTTCTAAAACGGCTGAGAACGTCACGTTCTATGTCACTTTCACAGAGTTCCAGTGTTTTTCCATGCAGGTTTCCTCAATGTTGTTGCTTAATTTCTCTGACTTTTCTTAGACGACTGCAGTGAAGGTGTCCTTTTTAGCTGTGGTCTACCTTCAGCTTCTTTGAAAGCTGTCGACCTTTCCCAGAAGGATCCTTGTATTAGATAGCGGTCTCATTATGGATCGACTCCTCTTGTTTAATTCTATGTCCAGTAAGCTGCATCTCCACTTTCCTGAGATTAAGAGCTAATTTTAGGTTGTTCCGTCCGGTAAAACCCTAGTCGCCTCGCACATATCCTTTTGCCTGTACAAACGGCTTTCAGTTACCATATCATTAAAGGTTCAGAAGTCTGCAAAGAGTTCTCCATTCTTAATCCTCCTTGTGTTTTCTGCTCCCATTTTGGCTGGTATTCATATCTTCCATTAGAATTTTGATGGCATCCCTTGAGAAGTGCGGTACTGTCACTAGATGAAGATGAAGTAGACTTTCATATGTATGGATGCAATCACTTCTCATTTATATCACACATGTTAAGTCTTAGGTTTCTGTTGCTTTTATGTAGAATCCAAAAAGATTTTCAAATTATAATTAAGTATTTAATCATATCGTAGAATTTTTTTCCAGATGTTAAAGCTCTCAATGAGTACAACTAAAGGTTGTGTAAAGAAATTTAATTGAAGCAAGTCATATTGCAAACATAAGTATTATCTTCAAATTTGTAGCCTTTCAGATTAGTTGCCTCATAGTCTGTATCAGTCCACTTCAGAGTGAGGAAAAATCAAAAGAAGCGTATTCCACTAAAATCTGTTCTGGTCACGCGAAACTCTTAATAGAATTGAAATAATGTCACCTATGCATTATTATAAAAGTTTTTGTAAAATATAAAATTACCAGCTTTAGTTATTATACTTTCCATCTTTAGTTTCACTTCTTTCTGGTAATCGTAAAATACTAATGCATCATTATTGGCTTCTTAGGAGTTAATAAAAAGACAATTGCAGCGAAGAAAATTTTCTTTTCGACGAAGTCATCATCTAGGCTGTACATCATTTTAATTCCTAATTGTAATTTTTTATTAATTTGACCCCTAACCAGAAATTATTCTGGAACTTTCCTATCCATTTGATATAAATACACGAATGTACAGCCTAGATGATGACTTCGTCGAAAAGAAAATTTTCTTCGCTGCAATTGTCTTTTTATTGGCTTCTTGTGAACTCTCATTCCTAACTGAATGGCTGTTTAATTTAAAATTCGTTGAATTGGACACATGTGCTTTCCTTTCAATTTATTACCTGATTTTCATTGGTAGATTGTTAAATTCTATCTGGGAGGGTGGATAGGGACAGTTTCATATTTTTTTCTACCTCCTAAATTAAAGATAGCAAATTTTACTGCCTCCTCAACGTTTAGATAGTTCATCTGTCAGATCCCACCACTGAATCAATTAATTGTCTACCCTTTTTCATATTAGAACAAGACTATTGTTCCATCCCATCTTACACTTATTCCACAATACACTTTCTGATATGATTCTAATTTGCCTTTACTGGCTATTGTATGCTTAAATTAATGGATATATATTTGTAGAGCCTGAAGAAGAATTTATTGAAAACAATTGTTCGCTCTAAATATTTTGTTCAGAACAAGATATATAAGCGAACAATATTGTTTTCAATTAGATCTTCTTCAGGCTTTACTCTAATTTACATAGATTTATATATAAAAATTTTAACCAATGACGGTAATTTTGTGGATTAAATAATAATAATGTGGTAAATGTTTTGAACGTCATTAATAACGATGATTGTAATGATAACAAAATAGTGATAATAAGGTTTATGCAGGTGGCGATAAGAATAACGAAGGTAGTAATATGTGTATATGTAGACAAAGGTCAAATCAGTACGTTATACTAAAGGTGAAGTGTACAAATAATCAGAGTTTAAATAAATATCATTAAAGTACGAAGGAAATGGAAAATAAGAGAGAGTGGGAGGGTTCTGAATAGAATTCACCTAGGCCAAGGGAGAGACAAAGGTAGAACAAACTTCTTTTGTATGCAAAGACTAGGATTGTTCTCTCGAATTCCCATAGCTTCGGCTATGTGTAAAAGACGGGTTCGAATTCCGTTCGAAAGGCTCGATGGAATGCGATAGATAACTTTGAAGGCACTATTTTTGTCCACTTGGTGACCACTATCAATCAAATGAGCCAAAATAGAACTTCTGATAGATTTTATTTGGCCTTTTCCGAACCATGAAGGAAGATGCTCATTAATACGTTTGTTAAGCTGTCTAGTTGTTCGCCCTATATAGCTCTCTCCATAGGAGCAACTAAATTTGTAGATACACATAGAAGTGGCACAGCTAGGCAACTTGTCTTTCGCTTGAACAATCATAATTGGTCGGCCGGAAAATGACAAACAAAGGGTGGTGGCAGTATAAGTCCGTTTTATTGCTCTCGATAATCTTAGATGTAAGACTTCACTGGCCACGTCCCCATTAAATTGCAATTTTAGGAACAGTTGTTTCTTTTTAACTATTGTCAGTTTCTCTTTATTATACTTGGTGTTCATGTGTCTCCCTACAAATCTGCTAGGATAACTTATGTGGATAAGAGTATTTGGGATGTATCCTAATTCATTTTCTAGGAAGTCATCTGTACAAATCCGTCTGCTCTATTCGTGAGGTATCTGACCAAATTGATTTTGTATCGGATTAGTACAAAACTGAGAAAATGTGTATATTGTCCTACCCTTCTTTCAGTTATAAAATATAAAACGCTGTCATTATAGCAGTAGACAAGTATATAGCGAATATATTTTTTTAAGTTTAGAGCACAATTTATTGTTCACAGTCATACTAAAGCGGTAGCAAAATTTTCAAAATCCAACTTTTATAATACTCACCTACATGGTTTCTTTAGTAGCAGAATTTTCTGAGTGTTTGATCCGAGCATTGATTCGTTTTAAACATTTCCAGTAGTTTAGGAAATATCTGAAAGGAAACAACATTCTATTCTATCTTATCAGTATGAAATCTTTCGTCTTTGTCGTCTTCTTCACTGTGTAGAGATGAAAAATTTCTACTGTAATGATTATAAGTAGTGAGTTGATAAAAGTTAGAAGTTTTGAACCATAAAGGTTCAATTGATTATTTAAACCACTACATGCCCACAGATTTTTAAACCAGTCTGTTGTGGATGATAAGCAAGTACTGATGAAGTGCCTCAAACTAGGACGAAACAAATGTCTAACAGACCTTAGTAATACGTTATTTTATAACTGATGATTGTTTGTGATAAAATGTGACTGAAGGTTTCTCCGTTAATGAGTCCAGATAGGAATGTAAATTTTAACTTTACATTTGAAGTGACAGTTTCTATAAATTATAATCTGATTTAAAAAGTTAATATTTAAATGGGGACACATCTAGTTGTTTATCAAGAATATAAGTTTATCGAGTGATTACCAACTTTAACTATATTTAGCGTAATAAATTCTCACTAGTAGTGCCCTTACACATATGATTGCTTAGGGCAATTTGTAATGTAATAAACTTTATGATTTTTTTAATCATCATTTAGGTGGTTTACAAGCTGGTGAATTTCTTGACAGCAATAATAAATTCCTTAGTTCCATACAACAAGCATTAGATTTAGACGGAAGTGAGCGTGACACACTTCACCAATGGGTTCGCTTATTGCTTAAATTTATGTCTACAGTTCAGCTTGATATAAAATTGGATGAAGGTAGTACCAGTGGATCTAGCGGGGGAGGAAGTGGTGGTGGAGGAGATGGAGGAAGTGGCAGTGGGATCGGTGGCTCCAGTGGAAGTGGTGGACGTCACAATATGGCAAACAAGTCTAGAGATGAGTTAAAAGATCGTAAAGCTTTAAGCAAAGCTCAAAGACACCTGGCCTTCTTACTTGGTTACACTGATGGTTCTTTTGATATACCACCACACAAAATGAGGTGAGTTATTCGTTTACTAAATAATTTTTGTTATATATGTTCAAAGCAAGTTCACTTTTAACAGTTTGAAAAAATATGGGTATTGCGTATATGATATTCATGATTATAAGAGTTTTTGTATTTCCCAATGAATGAAAAACAAAACGATATTGTTTTTACTGACGTTTAGCTGGATAAAAATAAACCGCATCTGTGAATATTTTCTTGAAAATTGGTTACCAAAAATGTTCCACTATAACATTATTATAATATCCCCAATACGAGAATTAGAAAAAGGCAGTCACTTAGGTAACCCAACAAATGTGTGTTTTGACTAGATGACACTCCTACTTGACGTTCTTTTAGCGAAACTTCCAGTGACATTCTGGGTATCATCTTCAGTGAGATTTGAAACTTGATCTTACTGAAGATAATGGCTATAACGTAACTGCAGATCTATCTTAAATAGTTCCTTTTCGGTAGGCATTTCATCTAGAAGTCTTTTGCTGTCACCAGGTGACTGGTTCTGATATACTATTCAAAGTTTAAACATTAACGTAAATAGCTTGCCCCAATGCTAGACCCTGAACCTCAATAAAGGTGCAGTTGGGACTTCTTAATGAATGCTAAATGACAAAAATCCTAGTTCAGACAGAGTTTCATGAAAAATTACTTCTTCAGCCTGATGATTTCATAAAATCTTGAAAATACCATAAGAATATTTATAACTACATAGGTAGTCGACATTCTCTGTCCATGAATGCTTCCTTATGTTAGATTATTTTACTGCAATATTTTCATCATAAATTTAATTAAAGTACTGATTTTCCCTTATCCCTTTCATGTATACAAACTGGAAATCCAGAAATTCAACCGTTTTCCATGCATTTTTGGCACATGTTGCCGGTGTCCTTGATCGTAACTTCAGTATGGGTTGTTGTATTCTACATCAAACTTTGGTTGTTTTACAATTTTGTGCATCACCTCAGCGTTATGCTACTGACACACAACCACCAACATTCACCTTGAAACTATTAGAACCTCAGGTTAGGCTGCATTGGCTTCAAACACTTCTAGTTATCTTGTATAAAGTAAGTGAAAATCGAATTTTTTTTTTCATTCATTTTTTCTTTCAAGCAAACCTTAGTTTATTTTCCATCATAAGTTTACTTTTTCTTAAGACCCGCTAGCATAACTTCGAATTTATAGAAAGTTGAATCTCAGTTGGTTGCTTCTGGTATTATTACGTTCCCGGAAACTGGATGGTTTAACTGCTCAGCTTTCATTGTAGTCACAGGATTCTTACTACTTTTCCAAAGACTCGAAATACCCATTGAGTCATGAAGAAAATAAAAGACCATTCAGTGACTAAGTCATCTTCAGTGGATGTACAGTCGTATTTTTATCTACTGACAGATATGGTAATCTGTTACTGAGCAATGGGTGCGTGATATAACTGATACAATTACTCTGAATTGATTTCTAAAGATAAAATGAAATTACGTAATAGTCAGAGACACAATGGAAGTAAAGATTTTAAATCTGATGGCGTGAAAACTGTTACATGATGAGAAGCTAGATAGATTGTGTGTCCACTTGACAGCGAGTGAAGAAGGTTAGAGAAAATCTAGTAAAATGTGATAAAAGGGAATAATAGTAGTGAACTGTTCACCAAAAAGCATGCTAACAATTAGGAAAAAGTTTAAAACTATGCTTTAAGGAAAGACAGAAAAATCCTTTTCTCCACACAGAGTCGTAGGCGTTAGTGAATCTTCAATATAAACTCTAACGCTGTGTGCAGAAAAGGTTGGTTCACTGTCTTATTTTATCATGGTCACTTTTGAAATGTATATTTTTAATACATGGAGAAGACAGTTAACCTGATGTTGCAGTTGCATATTAACTTTTTTATTGGGTGTATCGCAATGAAACAGTATTACTTACCAGGAGAACTTTCGAACACACCCTAACCCTAATCCTAACTAGCGCTAACCGTAAACAGCTACCAGCCTACTATCCAAACATTACCTAAAATCGAGATCAGGATGGAATTTGCACCTCGATTCGTGCACAGAGATCACAGTGGTGCGATATAAATGGTAGGACCCGTTATCCAACGAATAGTATGGGTTTAAGGTCATTGGTACGTTTACACTCCTGGACCGCTATTTTCTAACTTAGCATTCATAATCATATCAGTTGTAACTACAAAAATTCGATATAACAATACCAGATGAAGGTACAAACCAAAAATGTCTTTTCTTTATATACTTCATTGATGTAGTATGAATACAATGCACCAGGTGGAAATCTGCCAGGTAACATGAACATTTGCAGCGGTACGTCCTATAGTTCCAGTGCATTAGGTTCACACATCCCATCTAGTTCAGCATCAAATGTAGCTGGTGGAGGTAGTACTGTCAGAATACGTAAAAGAAGTTCGGAAAGTGAAGCACTTGTACAAATGGATGCTGGAACAGGGAATCTATCGTCTGCAATGTCAGCTGCTAGTGGTAGTGGAAGTAAACCTGTTCCTGGAGGAGGTAGTGTTACTGGAAGTGGTGGTGGTGGTGGTGTTGGTAACAACGTCGTAAATGTTTCCAGTTCACATCAATTTACCCCATCTAACCTTCTTGGGAGTGGTGGAGGTGCTACAAATGTATTCTCGTCATCACCTTCAGGTGTTAATTGTGGGACCAGAGGTATGATAGAATATTTAATACAAATTGTTCTGAACACTTTGGATTCTCATGTACATGTTTGCCGAGATCGTCCAAACGATGACCTAGTGGCACCATTTAATTCACAGCTGAGAATAAGAGGTAGGTTAACCCACTTATATTGACTTTTTTTCTGACATGCAGTAGCCGTGTACACATTTTGATATCCATCTTTTGTTTTATTTCCTTTTTTACCCTTTCTCTTTCTACCGTGACTTTGATACTCTGTGGATAGATGTATAATACCTCCAGTCTATAGTTCGTGTATACTATTACCAGTAATACGATGCAGCATTTAAAAATACCTTCCTATTTTCATGACACCTAGTTTACTAGTGAAGATTATTTAAACCCTATTGGGATATTATAAATTTGGAAAATATACAACGTACTTCTGTTTTCTCAATTTAATTCTATGAACGGAAATCATAGTTTTTCCTTGACAATTCATGAAGGGACTTGTTACTATTATGATTGCTGGATATCTAAAGGCATTCAAGAATCCATTTACTAGTATGATTTAAAACGAGAAACCAACCAACTGGAATTTCCATCAAAATCTTCATTCTTATCAATGAAGTTTATTGTATTCGTTTAATTAGTTAGTAAAACAAGTATTAGACTTTTAGGCAGTTGTCAACGAGGTAAAGTAAAATCCATTTTAAAAAAATCACTATTCTTTGGAATAAAGTGAAAATTGTTTGTGTGACTGCATTGCACTCCTTTGGTTGATCAGTAACGTGTTCATTATGAGGAATAACATTTCCAATTTTCATCCTTCATGAAGTCTAAGATATACACATTCAGGGAATTTTACACTAAGAGGAAAACATCTCTAGTGAGCGCTCTGTTTTCCGTCTTTTTTAAAAATTTGCTTATTTGTGATGATGGGTACACTTCCGATAATTATTGGTCTCTAAATATCACTTCAAATGCTAATTTCCAACTAGCCCAGTCTACTCTTAGTACACTAGCCGTTTTATTTTGAAAATGTCATACTTTGCCAAGTGATTTCAGAATAAAAAAATAACTGCCGGAAAAGCTCAAGACTATCCTTAATTTTGCGAAATATGTTTCCAACTTAATAGTAAAATACAGTTGGAACTGATATGCTCTGGTTTGTATCACTTCCTAAACATCACTTTTGTATTTTCAACTATTCTCAGAGTACTGGTAAAAATGGCCTCGATTCTAATATTGTATAACTATCAATAGCGAAGGTAATTGTTTTAATTCTACCAAATGGTAAAACTAAAATGGCAGAAGAGTATGTTACAGTTAAAAAGCCTAATCTTCCCAGTAAATGCACATATATTGATTGAAATTCTTAAGTAACCGATTTGCTAGTTCGATTCCCTGTGAGATCAGAACTATTTCTCTCTGAAAAGAAATTAGTGTAAAAGTGGATGCTTTCTGTAGCCTATTGAAGAATATCATATTATTACGCCTAGGGACTAAGTTTTAATCATCTGCAAATTGAGGAAGCATCAAAGATAGGACTTCAGGTGAACATAGAGAAAACAGAGGTGATGAAGATTCCTGGCCAACACCACCAACAGCAACAACAACAACAGACAACAATCACCATAAATGGAAGGAACCTGAAAGAAACAACCTCTTTTACCTACCTACCTGAGAAGCATCGTTTCAACTACAGGCAGATGGAACTGACGAGGATATCAAAGCAAGAATCGGAAAAGCAAGACAAGCTTTCACTACTCTCAAGTCTGTGTGGAGGTCAACACCACTCAGCATCAAAAATAAGATCCGGATTTTCAACTCCAATGTGAAGTCAGTCAGTGCTACTATACGGATCAGAGACTTGGCGCGTCATAAGGAGCATCTCAAACAAACTACAGACCTTCATTAACAGTTGTCTTCGCTCATTACTCAAGATCAGATGGCCAGCCAGAAAAGATCAGAAACAGAGATCTCTGGGAGCAAACCAACTAGGAACCGATTGTGAAACAAATAGGCAGGAAGAAATGGAGATGGATTGGCCATACTCTGAGGAAATCATCAAGTGACATCACTAGACAAGCCATTGCTCGAGTGGAACCCGAAAGGGAAGCGGCGAGTTGGTCGTCAGTGCGAGGGTGGGTGACTTGGAGGAGGTGATGTGAAGAGGAGATGAAAGCGTGTGGGCAGACATGGAGCCAGGTGAAGACTCTAGCAGAGAACCGAACGCAATGGAGACGCGCGGCTGAAGCCCTATGTTCCTCTAGGAATTAAAGGAAACAATAATAATAATAAATTGAGGATGATTTTTGATTCTTCTCTTGTCATGATTGTTTTGGCAGCTTTATGTGAATAAACTATGAAAACTATCCCATAGTAAGAACGAATGTTTGCTTATTTCTATTGTAGTCTCCTTTACTATCACATCCTTTAAAAATAATATTCACCGCCTTCAGTAGATTAAGCGGTTTGTTTATTAATACCTGTCTAAACTGAGATACAGATGATAACACCAATAATTAATTATTACCGGTGCACTAACTTGTAAGTGCTGTTTAGTACAATAGTGCATTATTAACTTCCGTTCATCCTGCTAAATGCAAATGTGCAATTTTTCTAACACATTTATAGTCTCAAGTGTTAGTTTGTAGGGATTCGATTAGTTTTAAGTTTGGTCACTGACTGATATCAGTTAGAGAACCACTGAAAATCAGAGAGTACTGTACAGCTGCTTCGTCCTAATTTTGAGACTCTTCAGCAGTACCCGCCCAGGACCTTCAGCTTACAAGGTGAGCTCGCAGAACACTGAGCCACTAATTCTGTGTTATAACAGTGTTAATGATTTCTGGTTATCGTTTAACTTGACTCGAGTGCGCCCTCAAACACGTCACTATAACCAACTAATCACTTGAAAATATCCCCGACACTGAAATAGACAAAAACGTCAGACTTAGCTGCAACAATAACAGAGAGAACGTTTCATTAATCAAAATATACGGTATATGAGGTTTAAAAAAACTCAGAAATTCAAACCATTAACAAGAACAAAATCTAATTGGTTGTATGACATTGCGAATCCTCGGAAATTCAAGCTAAGAATAAACCAATCAAAAACTGCCCAGTCGAATTATCATATCAGTGCATGCATCAACGACGACTTCGTGGTTAATAACGATAGGCTGTCAGTCCCAACATGCTTACGGGTAAATGGCTATAGAAAATGTTGCCTTTAGTTCTAGGGAAGAGTCGTGACCAATAAGGTCCACCAGGTGAACTGTAATAACAAAACTCATAGATGATATTGGCTGGCCGTGGTGCACAAAAACATGAAGTGATAAAAGTTAGAATTTATGGGCCACCGGATCCCATCTCAGTGGCTGAATGGTCTATGACCTTGCCTTGATTCTGAAGATTCTGGGTTGGACCCTCTACAAGGTCATGCGCGCATACTGTTGAATGGTTTCCTAACTAGAACGAAATAGTTGTCTAGTAATTCTTGATGTTCAGTAGTGCTCTAACTAATATCAAAGATTTATATTCACGTAATATTTGCAGCGATCACTTATATATATCCACTGTTAATCAATGTAATTTTCCATGAAGGTTAACTTTCTAATATGGACACATAAAATATACAATATTAGTATTCATTTATATCTTTTGAAACAACACGGTTGTACTTTGAAGAATGAAAATGAAAACAACGGAAATGTCTTTGCTTATTGATTAAATTCTTTAATTTATTGCAGGACTATCGGGATTTCCAAATGGTATGAATTGTATTAGTAGTAGTATTTCAATATCACTAGCGATTTATTTTTATTATTAATGGTAGTAGTAGCAGTAGCATTAGTAGTAGTAGTACTATTATTGTTAATAAAACTTCTTTATAATATTGAAATGAACTCAATATTTATTTTTATTTAATTGTAGTTCTACACTATTCCTGTCCTAATGCACATTGTAGTCTGTCTTCCACTGTAGATTTTCACATTGAATTTGGATTCCAAAATATTTTTAAAAATATCCAGTCGTTTCACTAATTATCTCATGGGTGTATACTCCACGAGGTTTATTATTATATATTGTTTCTTATATTCTAAAGGTGGATAATCATATCGGTATATTATAAGTAGTATCTAATACTTTTAAATTATTATTTTCGAATAATTCTTTTTTTGGATCAGAAATTAATTTTCTTGATAATTAATGAAAACCCAAATTCACTAAATCTGAATGTGTATGACTGAATGTATGCAATTTTCCCACTTTATTTTATGCATGTATATGCACAGAAGTATTGCTTTGTGTTTGTATTATTCTGTTTTTACTCGACAAATTTAACTTTATCACTCCGGTAGTTGCTGTGATTTTACACTTATTATCATTCGATGCACTAGCCAACAGTTGTTCATTCAGCTTAGAAATAAGCACAGTACACAGTATACAGTTTAAAAATTTTATGTATAATATTTTTCTTCCTAATAAATGCCTTCTTTTGATTTCGTATAACTTAGTTATTCGTATTACTATTCTGTTTAACTGCATTAAGTTTAGTGATAAATGGATATAGAAAGTATTTTTGGTCGTGTTATTATGCATTTCAAAAGAAACTGTTTTAGATAATTAATATCTCTCCGTAGTGATATTGGGAGCTTGGTGATTTGCATTAAATTTGCTCGATATAGCATACATTTACAATTTTTATACGTATTCGTTTTAAACTATGAAAACATGTAAATATTGCTGGACATTATGTTCCTTGCATACAGGTCCTTGATAAATTACCATATTTCTCACCTCTATGGCGGCTGATAACAAATAATAGGAAGCCATATATATATGGGACATAAGTCTGTTAATTCTAGGTTTCATGACTGTTTTCTGTTGAATATAAATGAGGCCAGTATACAACTATGATAGGAATTCATACTACTTCATTAGTGATTCTTCTCAATGAATTGCATAAACAGTTAGCCACAGATGAGAATTGGTCAGCGTGTGGTACTTGTTTAAACCCTATCGGTAAAGGTAAACTGATAATTAAACTTTCCACTATGATTCAGTACACCAAATGACAGCACACCATGATGCAGTGTACTTGGCTTTTGATGTGATAAGTCTAGTCTCATCATATGATTTCCCCTTAAGCTGGGATATCTTTTTCCTCTGATCAGTAAATACAGTCTTCTAGCATTTAAGTAACATTTTAAGATAACTAAAGGAATTAGTTAAGAATGATTTCTTTTGAGCTGTATTACGAAAGGTAGTTTTTCAGTCAATATCAATTAACATCAGATTAGCACTTGAACACAGTGGCAGAGTTTCAATCCATGTTAGTTTGTTTATCTGATGTACACTATTATTATGATTTGGCTGATGTTTCAAGTACAACTTATTATTTGCTAATAGTACATAAAAATGCTGAATGGTTCTATTAGTAGACAGAAGGAAAAAACTACTTGAGCTGTCGGATATATATTTATTAAATTAGCTGACAGCTGCCTACCATCCAATGTGACACAAGTGTACTTGCAGACTACGACTTTTATTAATCCTTCTTTCACAGTCTGGAATCGTTAAATGAATGGAAATGACCTATTTATAAAAATACTTTTACTGTTTGTATATTTCCAGAGAGTTCTGTAGTATGGTTTTTAGTCACATCTGTAGTTACACTTCCACGCATTCTCTGTTAGTAGTCAATCGGCATGGTGATTATGTTATTCAGTCGGTGTTATCTGCACAAAGAAATATTGCATGTTAGTTTTATCAAGACAACTGATTTATTTGTTTGTTTGCTTTTCACTTTTTCTCACACCTTTTTTCAAGAACTAATGTTTTCACCTTGCATGAAAAACTACTTCTATTCACATATTAATGATGGTAAAATATATTAATTTTATTGTTTTTCCAAGCATGGTAGTTCAGTAGTATGTCCGATTGCAAACCACACGTTGTTCCCGTTGTAAAAAGACACTTTTAGTTTTGTAGCAATTACATGTTCAGTTTTCAGTCAATTTCTGTAGCATAGAGGTGGAAAGGTTTTAATTTTGATTAACTTACCTATTCAGAGTTGGCTAATATAGAAAAAATAGTAAAATAGAGCTCAGTGATAAAGCAAATATTTTTTTTAGTTACAGAGGTTGAATTACTGAGTTATTGTGGGTTCGTTTGACATCATGATGGGCGTCGTCACAAACTTATAGAAGATTAGAGATCACAGAACAGTAGTTCCTTTCCAGTGTAGGACTGTTCAGTGGTGCTCATCACTACCTACCCTAGAGGCGAAACTCAAAACTGTTGACTCTTACAGTGACAACATTTCCTTGTCAAGATGGAGACAGCAAATGATATAATCCATTAGAATTGCTATTGTAACTTATACAAAGCAAATGAATACAACTATCCACCTGTCGTGCAATCACACCAGCCTAGACAATACAATAATAAACTTGAGAAGTGTTTTAAAGTTAACAGAATCACTTGTTTAACAGATAAGCAGTGATGTGCTTAGTTGGAGTATATGTTACTCGATTAACTCCACATGAGCGGACTAACATTATACTGATCTAGTTGTGTGATCCAGTATCTTCTAAAATTGAGGCTTTCTTCCACTTATTTGGTGATTGTTTGTTATTCATACATGTAAAATGTGTACAATGTATGTAAGAAATACCTTGCTTGTGTAAACAATTAGAGTGCTTCAGTGAACAAGAGAATCTGTACCGAGTATCCTGACCTGATATTTACCACGTGAACTGTCTTATTCATCTCTTAATTAGCTCGTCTCATTAGTTTAACAATGTATTATCCAAAAATCATGTTTTTATTGGTTTATATTATACATTTTTATTAATTACTCTCTTGCTGTAACGCTTTAGTTGAATTACCTGAAAATTATTTAACACTGTTGGTCACACTGCCTGAGATAGCTTCAGAAAGGTTGACCAATAATAATATATATGTCGGTGACTGAAAGTGGAAAGACCTGGCTAGCCAACTGATGTGTTGTTGTTAAACGGAAGGCTAGCCACCACTCCCATCACTCATTCATATAACAACTCGATGTTTACAGAGAAATTATACTCTGGTTAGCCTCTAGGTGTGATAGCTCATTTAGTAGAGCTTTAGTCTAGTTATCTAGTTTCAACCCTACGTGGACCTAGTTTTTTCCCCTATTCATTTATCACTGATTGTGTAAGTTAATATATATTTTGAAATTACGGTTACTTATATTATCCCAGAGCTTTGATTTTCCTGCATGTCGAGCCATTTCTTGACATTTTTTTTGTAAAATCACTAGAACGAGAAAATATGGTTATTTCCGACAGGCTATTTCTTGTTCCTCCGTCAGCATATTTATTCCATAAAACGATTAGTTATCATCTTGTACTGATTATCTCTGCCCATCTAGTAATTTTACTTCATGTTTGTTACTTCTACTTATTTTTTTTGGCTCCAATTACTGTAATCAGTTTTCCGTTTTCGAATGCTCCACTGAAAAATATTTCACTGTAGTTTCTATTCCTGACATCTGTAAGCTCCATTACTATCCAGTGAATATAATGGAGAAGATTTACAGCTAAGGTGGATGATTTTGGTGCAGTGGTCTTGAAGTAAGCTGACCTCAAATTGAAGTATGCTCAGAGGATGTTGTCTAGTAAGACAACGAAAGCTTCACAACAACACAAGAACTCCAAAACTATTCACTGGATAAGACAATGATGACCAAAGAGTTACTAAGATAATCAGTCACAAGCTAAAATATGGTGTATCGTACAGGCTATTTGTTACTTGTTGAATACAGCCTTACATCGGCTGATTTATACTTAGTGAAATTTTTACACTTTCAGTGGCAGTTGACAGTATTATCCTGCACTCTTGTTTCTCGTCATCTATGCCTTATTTATAACAGTGTGTCACAACAAATGATATTCCACCTGAAATTCGAACTTAATGCCCACAGTGTAAAAGACTAAATTGTTATCTTCTAGATTACTGAGACACTTGAAATGTTTAACTGTTAATGATAATAAATTAAATGAAAGTAAGTAAATGAGAGTGAAAACAGAATCGCTATTTTTGATTCTGGTTTATGTTGAAAGACTTTTTAAGATACAGTCAAGTGATTTGCGAAAATGTGTTCTGCTCTGTGAAGCTGGTGATGCCTCAAAGAACCCTTAATTACGACAAATCTCCTGAAAGTTGACTGACTAATTATTTAACTAATTAAACATTTCCCTGGAATAAATTTCTTCGCATATATGAATATGTAGTTTTAATCTGCAATTTTTCACTTTTGACAGAGACTAGTAATGTGAGCACAGATTTCAATACAATACTGGAAACTGAAACACCACCAGCTACACCGGTTAAAGAAGAACACGATGATGATGATGATACAGTGGTTATGCCTGGTGTAACTATAAATTTGTTACCATCGTCAAATGAGTTAAATGAAAAGTCTACTTCAAGTTCCACCGCAGGAATTGAAAATGATCTAGATAATCTTGGTTCAATCCAACAGAATGTTGATGATTCGCCTGGGGAAATAAGGATGAAAAAAGTAAGTTATTTATGATGTGTTACCAAATAAAATGATTTTTCATTACCTATTATCATACTTTACTGTTACATTGATTGGTAACCAGTGTGTAACCAGTCAGCGTAACCACTACATTCCTATAGGGAGTTAATTGTGAACCTGAATAGCTCAGTGTTAACGTCTCCGATCTGGGCCGAAACTTCTGATGGGACATTAGTTCCTTCGAGTTTGAAGATACACCTTGCTGATAAATGACAAGAAGCATGAAACCCAAGCCCAGGGCTTCTTGTCGATTGCTTCCAACCACCTAACACCAGATAATAATTCAATGTGTTGATAATCTTATAGAGCGACAAATGAGTTTATTACTAATCAGAATATTAACACTTATTTCAGGAGTTATGCGAAGAAATGTCAATTTTCATGAATTCACTTCAACCATACGAAGTTTAACTTTACAGCTAGCTATCTTTTACTTTTACTAAGAATAACATCTTGAAAAAAAACTTATTTTTCCTAATAATAGCTTTAGAAATCTTAAATATTTACATTCAAATTGACAACTGATAACTGCATAGGGTGTAACACTATGACAGTCAAAAAAGCAAAACAGTATATATTTGTAGGTGTACATGCTAGCAGTTATACCAGTGAATTCTTTGTCGAATGTGTTTGACTATTTCGTGAACTACCCCAGCTACTCTTAGCATAAATGAAAGCTTCATATTTACAAGGGGATACAGGATAACTTTTGTTGTATATTTATGTGAATGTAATATCAGTTATCATTGATTCGGATCATTTTAGCTGATACGTAATACAACTTCTAAGCTATAAAAAAAGTGCATCTACTTATATCTTGCTTAAAAATCAGTCATTATTATATCATTATTGTTCCTTTGGGTTCCTAGTGGAACATAGGGCTTCAACTGCACGCCTCCACTTGCTTCTGTCTTCTGCTGTACTTTTCACCTGCATCCATGTTAGTCCATAGTGTTTCAGCTCCTCTTCACACGATCTCCTCCATGTCACCCTTGAACGTCCCACTCGCCGCTTCCCTTTCGGGTTCCACTCGAGTACTAGCCTGACGCGCGATGTCACCCAGTGGCCTCCTCAGCGAGTGTCCAATCCATCTCCACTTTCTCCTGCATATTTGTTGAGCGATTGGTTCTTGTTTGTTTTGTTTGTTCCCATAGTTTCTTGTTGGTGATTCTTTCCGGCCAAATTGCTACAGAAACTTCAACGCATAAAAATCAGCCATAGTTACGCATTTTATCCATACAATATGTAGCTTAGACTTTCAAAGTAAAAGAAAGTTCATGTAGAGTAAAATAGTCGCTTATTAATCAAACAGCGAAATCTTTTGCATATGCTTGTCACTATTACTTCGAATTCTTTTTACAAAGAATGTTAAACCTTATAAATGTTTTCAAATGAAAATTATTCTCTGTAATCATAGTGATATTCAACGATGGTGAATTTTTGCGTATGGGCAGGCAAAATTACTGTCACTTATAAGCTATATCATTACCACTGTAATTGTTTAGACTTTCAACTTTTGTTTACTGTTGAATCTTGATCGACTGCTATCCAGTCATTTCATACATTTATTCCCATTTATGAATTTGAATAAAGCAAGAACAATAGTTTTTGTAGAATATAATGGTACAATCATTTATTTCGTTGACTTCTCATCATCTGCTTACAGCCCAAAGATATTATCCAGTTTATCTACAAAAACAATTTCAACATACTTGCACAGAGTTCATTTTTAAACAAAAATGCAATATATGCATACAATGCTAATAATTATAATAATTTTATCCCAAACAATAATAATCATACACAATGGAATCTTTCGACGTTACGTAATCAGATGAAAGAGACGATGGAATCATACAGTTACCAGGGCAAGGAAAAACTGATAATCGCTTCTTTCTGAGCGCATAAATCGGGTTTCAGGCTCTTGATGAAGATTGCTTCGACAAACTTAAGGAGAATTGAACTCTTTTGCCTACTGATAATTTTGAACGACCTTGTGACGCCCACCTCATGACCCATGTCAAGGAGATGCCTAGCGATGGCACTGTTGAAAACATTTGTTCCCTTGAGACATAGGCTTTTTGGTACACGTTCAGAAAATGGAGGTATGCTTCTTTCTGTTCTTCCAATGTAACTGCTCCCTCCCAGATACATGTAAATTTGCATACACAGTTGAAAATGAACTCTGTGCAAGTATGTTAAAATTGTTTCTGTAGATATACTTAATAATGACTTTGGGCTGTAAGCATCTGAGCTGATGAGAAGTCAACGAAATAAATTATTATACCATTTTATTCTACAAAAACTGTTGTTCTTGCTTTATTCATAAAGAGTCATTGTTAGGAGTATTTGCTAAATAGGTCTGTGTGTAATTCAAAGGTGATGATGATGATAGTTAAAGAAGGAGGAGTGAAAACAGGATTTGCAGGATAATTCAGATAAGTAGCCTTAGATTTTTAATCTTGCTTAATTCAGCGATTTTATTACAACTTTATTGATTTATTTTATAAAATCTCCATTCATTTCGTAATTCCATCCATCCATCCTATTTCCGATTTTATCTTAATCCCCCTGTATACAGATCAGTTATGAAAAAGTGAGTATTTACGGAAAATCAGGAGATGAACAAGACATTACAGAAGATAAAGCAATTAATGATGATGATAATAGTTATACGAGAGGTAGAAGAAGAAATATCTCCAAAAATGATATAAAGAAAAGAAAATCTTTTGATCTAAACCTTAGCAGTGGTTTAACGCATAAAAATTCTGCATATAAAAAAATGACCACTTCAAAATCAACCAGTTCTATAAGTAAGCATTTACAACAAAATCAACATCCTCAAGGTCAACATTCATCAAATAATTCGTTGGTTTCATTGAAGTCTAAAATAGATGAGGATAGAAATGAAGTGAAACAACTGGGTATCACAAATGATCCATGTACTGTGACACGTGATGAACAATCAATTGTTACAGTAAGTAAACATAATTTTTTGCACACTATATTCTTAACGGACTCGGACTTTACAAATCGAAGTCTAAAACATATGAAACTCAATATTTGATGAGTTATTTATAGGTTTATAATTGTTACACTGGAATATATTTTCTTTTTTTGGTGCAGTTCACTTACTTCACTCCAGCAAATCTCTAGAATTTGTGTTGCATTGTATTTACTTCTAGAAATAAATTATACTTTGATAACGAATGTTTGAAGGCTATAAGCTTAAAGCTTTAAATCTAGGCTTTGTATTTACTGGTACTCTTACGTGAGGCATACTCACATCCCCATGGAACCCATGTCGCCACAGATTTTTTAATTGGTACCACTCAGTGCTATGGTCGCAAATGAGTCTCCTAAAGTGATGATCACATTACCGATGTTCAGGAAACCTAGGTTCATGGCTTCAGGTTGATTGATTCCAACTATCCGAGATCGTATCAAAGTTTCCTAGCTTCTTGATCAAGTAGAATTTCAACACCATTAAGGACAGCATGACACTAGTTACTCTGTAGTGATCAATCACTGTGAACAATTTATTCTGATACTTGTAAATTAATTCTTCTGACGTAAAATCTAGCTTACACTGCATTTCATTAATATGATCTAGTTTCTGCAATGATTTATATCATTATTAAAGTTGAAAAGTGGAAGGTAATTTCTGTTAACTAATGTTGTTCATCAAACTTCATAAAACACCTGTCCAGTTAAGATGGTTCGTCTTTTTAATTAGGTAGTCCATTTATTGTGAATAATAAGTTAACTGCTAATGATTACTATTTACCCATACCTTAGTCATGAGCCCCAATGGCATGAAAGGAAGAACCCTGAAATAAATACATTGTGATGGAAACAAGAACGATTATAATGGAGAGGGAACTTGAATTATTCACTAAGAAAAAAGCTCTTATCAGCTGAGAACGATTGGTGACGGCTTGTGTCATGAATGAAGTCGGTAACACTATATAGCCAAGTAAATAACCTCACAATTGGTAAAATTGACTATACTTATTTTACTCATGACTTATTTCACTTCTCAGAGCGTAAAGCTGACTTGATCACATCCTCACTTTATTATCCAGAGATAGCATGGTTCTTCGGAGTCCTGTTGCTGAGCATGTTGTTTATGGGATGTTTTTCACTGTTACACATTTGGCGTTTGTTTAGCTTGTTCTACCTTTGAATGTCACTCAACTTACATTGAAGTGAACAACTGAGTAGGATCAATGACTCGTGCACAATAAGTTTGGCTCACAGCCTAGAACAGAGGAGATTTTTATCAGGTAGTAGAATTGCAGCATATATTATTTAGTCCATTCTAATTGGCTTATTTTAAAAGTGAAAAACTGATCTACTGACGGTATAACATACTCCTACTCCAAAAACCTCATGTTCTACCTAATAAACATCTTTCCACAAATATTTATAATAACGTTTTGAAGCTTTTCAATTATGTGATCATAAGTTCCAAACACTGGTACAAAAAGCTTATAACTATAGGTATGTGTTTAAAAATATCGTTGGATTAACAAACAGTAAACTATATGTGCTAAAGTAAGTTCGTTTCTTTGTGGTTTGCATTTTATTGAATGAGTGTTGCGTTTTCTATTCACGAGCAAAATCAGATTTCAAACTAACAAACGATATCTATACAACAGTGCGTGGGTTGTACTGAGACATGGTATTCATCATGAGTTATTTGGTGAAGTGTATACCTAAAAGTTCAGAAACAATGATGGTAATCAGTTATTTCATTAAATTTCTGTGGTCATTATTTCAAAGTAAACCAAGAATTCTCATGGAAAGGCATATAAACCTCCTACCATTTTCATCACTGATGTAAACCAATGATTCATTTCAAATAATAGTCAAGCAAAGTCTTCGGATTTATGAGAATATACGGCGTATTTTTTCGACCAAATTCCACTGACTGCATACAAAGAGTGTAATTATAAATGAATATAAAATCTCCCCATTAATCAAATAGTGGGTTCGTGAGATCATAATTTATCTTAAGCAGAATTCATCACAAACCGATGTCAGGTAAATGATCATTGAAAACCAAGAGGTATTTAACAGATCTATCGTCTTAATTTCTGACTGTTAGGTAGTGAGTACCGACCAAGTTTCACATGATCACAGACCGATAATTTTGAACTCATAAATATACCTGTCTTGTAACCGAACTACCATGGATTCATCGCCCTGAGGGATGGAGAATGCACACTATTTAAAAAATTCGTAATCGGGATGAAATAGACTCTGACTGACTTCATATAGAAATCAACTTTAATCTATGTTATTCACTTCTGTAAATCTTTCGGATAAAAATAACTTCTCAGGTTTGACTTAAGATTTATACAAAACGAGCAAGAAAACACATCACTTTGAAGTCTATGATTTTACCATCATAACTGGGTCACAAATAATTTTAATGTAGGATTGATTGGTGTAAACAGTTTTGTCACCCAAGTGTTACTAGTATAGCTCTTTGTATTCCTGTTGCGATCTGTTTCTAATGATCATACTTGTGATGAGTCTGTCATGTTAAGTAATGCGACATACTTGATTTTGATTCCCCATGTAAGGAGTTATTCGGTTGGAAGCACCGTACCAGAAAGCATACTTGACCTAACGGTCACATTGGGTATTTTATCGACCAGCACTAATCACCACTTACGTTCAGACACTTGTGTTGATTATCATTTGATGAGAACAATTAGTGAATTTATTAGAACTAATGCTTATTTCGCTAATAATTAGAAAACAGTATGTATTGAAATGAAGTCTATAATTTATCACTGTTTCATACATTGAGATTGCGTGTACTATGTACGCACACTTAACAAACGCTTATATGTTATGTATTCTGTCTAACACCAGTTTTCAAACAGTTCAGTTGTAATGGTAAGCGGTTAAACACAATTATTCTGTGTTCATTCTTTAGACGGGTTTTTAATCTTTTTTTAAATGCTGTTTCCTCATTTCCTAAAACTTGAATCCATAGTATTTTTAAAAGTAGTTTGCATGCAGTAGCCTATGCATTTTTCCCTTTCTACATAATTCTAATTACTACTACTCTTGCTTCTGTATGTAGAGAAAATACTATACATATTTTATGCTTTCATTATTCCTTACTGAATACTTTATTTTATCTGCGTACGTGTCTGTGTAGCTGTGAAGCAGTGAATACAAACTAATGCTTTTGTTTTGCTCTTAGCATATACCATGTGTTGGTGAGATGATGCAACATCATTTTAGCTTCATAACCTACCTACCTATCTCTATTTAATTACAAGCATATAGAAATAAAGCTTTCAGTGTTACTCATTTATTTATCAACTGTCTCGGTTATACATTAGTGTACACAATATATGTGTGTTCGCTTATGTGTTGCCTTACTTCATAAATTGGTGTATTATTCATTTCATTAGTTTGAAGCAGTTATATCACCGCAAGTAATGCTTTCAAATAACATTTTATAAAAGCAGAACTTTATACGCTTATTTTAAATTGCTTTACACTTAGCTTTATATCCATCCTAGCATTGCTTGATAGTTTTTAAATAAGTGATTGAATGAGAATGAAGTATTTAAGCATTTGAGTAAGTGGCTGATGAGTAATCTGCATTTGCTTTTTTCTTTTTATGTGAAAAATAAAAATATTCTGCTTTCCTGTTAGGTCTTGTCATCTACCTTGTTGCCTATTTTGCTGAGCACTGCAATTACCTTTTTTTAGTCATCATAAGTATAAAAATACTCATACTGTAACGACAGAGGACAAGGGCCAAGCAACAGATCGTTTATTGAAAATGTACATTATTATCAGCGGAGAAGCAACGTCTTCTGATTGGTTGTTTTCCTGCTGAAGGTTATTCTGTACCGCTTGCGACCGTTTCTCAGAAAGTTAAGCCATATATCTGCGAATTGTATTTGCACACGTTAAGTCTGCTGTAATTGGTTTATGAGTTCCACTAGGTTAGGCTTTGTTACTGTTTTTCTCATGACCCCGATTCGGGACGTAACACTGACGTAAATTGATGTCTACAATTTTGGCTTGCAGCCAGCTCTCACCAAAATATGACTGCAACACTCAAGAATGTATGAAAATTCAGTTAAAGCGGATCATTTGTACAACTGAAGATTTTGTGTACAGTCTTCTTTCATCTAAATTACTCTATCAAACAATGTGTACTATCCTTACCATCAAAAAATTTGCATCTATGTTTGAGATTTCTGATTGGAATGAGTGAACTATAGTCAACAATTTAGTTTATATGCGTTTATACTGTTTAATGACATCTGATTTAGGGAAACAATGTAAAGTAGGATTCCTTTGTCTGTTGATAATTGTAAAGGCAACTGGTGCATTCCTTTGAATCTCAAATAGATCCGATATCGAATGATTGTGCTAGTAACACTAAGAACCTTTGAGACTTAGGCTTTTTGAAGTAGATTCTGACGATCCAGTGGATATCAATCTCTCTTTCCTTCCAAATATACTTGCTACAGCATGTATATGTGAATTAGAAATTGTATTTATATGTGACTCTATCGAAAACAACTCTTAGTCTCTTGTTTATTCATTGTGTTATATCACTGGATAACTGGATAAAGACTGGATTTTTCTGAAGTTTATTGACATTCTTTTCATGACCATACATAACTCTTTGCGTAAAGATTTATTAGTTCCATTGGATATATGCTTTCATGAGAATACTTTCCCTGAACGGCTAACGTTTCAAATAAACTATCTTCATTGCAGTATTTTCAAGCTGCCTCAAACAATAGCCTGGCTAGTCACTGCGTTGTATTTCCATGGACAAAAATGAACATAGTTTAAATACCGTCCAATTCACGCATTATTGCGTTATATGACGCAGATTTCCTTTCACTATTGTTCACTATAATATCATTAATCAATTTGTTTGTCAACGTATGTATATATTACATTAATTACAGTATTAAATGATAT